CGGCCCGCGCCGCCCCTCCGCGGGGCCGCCCGGCGCGCTGCCTCCTCCCCGCTGGCAGCAGCGCTGCGCCGTTCCCTCGGGGCCTTTCATGAACGCCGAGAAAATAAAGATAAAAGGGGAAAGGCAGCTGCGCAGTGTGGCGGGACCCTGCAGCTTGTGGGGCTGCCAGACCCTGAGGGCCGGGCAAAGGCCGCCGGCCCTTCCCAGATGGCTGCAGCCCTGCATGAGCCTGCAGGTCGCTCCTGGAAGGCCAGGCAGCACCAAGCTGCTGGGAAAGGACCCTGTGGGAGCAGCTCTGGCCCTTCGGGGTGTAAAACCGGCCTGTTGTGGCTGTTTCCATCCATGACTGATTTGCAAGGATGTCTCTCCACAGCCGCCATTCGGGCACTGCATCCTCTCTATGCAGTGGCCACAACCAGGTTAACGGTGCAGACCGCGAGTTGACGTTTTGCAGACTGTAAGGAAAATGGGAACTTTGGGAATCTTGCCACAAAGTCCAGCCACAAGTTGGAAAGCAAAGTGCCTCCCTGACCCTCACTTAAACTCCATACGGACCCTGGGGATTAGGGGACACTAGTAGCTAGTTTCAATTAATGCTACTCACGAACCGCAAGTTTACTGCAAAACGTAGTTTGACAGAAGCAAAGTCGGCGTCTATGTACAGGGAGGTTAAAAACCGGCAGGCTCTAACAGTGATCAGTATTGCACAAGGGTAGAAGCTGCAGCAATCAGTCCCACTCCCAAATTATTCCAAGTAGATACTTCACGTAACGGGAACTGCAGCTGCAGAGGAGCCGCTGGGGCCTGCGGCTCGCCCGGCCCCGGTGCTCCACACCTTCCCGGCGCGCCGCCGGCTGCGCAGCCCGAGCGGACAGCGGCTTCGGGCACCGCAGAGCTCCGCACCGGCCGCCGTGAGCCCGCCTGGGCCGGGAGGCGGCAGCGGGAGGCGGGCGGGTCCCGCTCGCGCCCCGCCGCCAGGAGGAGCCGCGCGGCGCCATCTTGTGCGCGGCGCCCGCTCCCCCGCGGGGCGGCCGGGAGCCCCGGGCGGCGCGGAGGGGCCCGCAGGGTGCCCGCCCGCTCAGCGGCACGCGAGCCACGCGTGCTGCAGGCACTGCACCGCCGAGGCGCGGCGCTCGGGCGCGTACTCCAGCGTGGGCAGCAGGAAGCTGACGAAGGGCGCCGCGGCCGCGGGCGCCCAGCGGTGCCGCTCGGCCAGGACGGCGGCCAGGCTGCGCGGCAGCAGCCGGGAGATGCGCAGCAGAGCCCCTGGCCGGGAGGACACAGGCGCGGGCCTTAGTGACAGTCGCGGGACACCAGGGCCCGTCCTCATCCTGCGCGCCTTGAGCTTCACCTGCGCCTCCATGTGCAGCTTCCTCACAGCCCACCTTGCCACGCCAACCTGCCCATCCCAAATTCTTCATAAAACATCCTCACACAGTAAAAGTGAATAAAGCCTTCCCAGAGTACTCAGACATTCCCACTAGTTGCCTCCGGCTCTCTGCAGAGCACATTGGGTGATTTTAGGGGCATATAGCACTAAGGTTTAATTCGTGTTGTGCCGCGTGGCTCTGTGGGGGCTTGCGGAGTGCCACTAGCAACCAACAAGCCACCCTTGTCCCCAAGCAGAGCAGGCTGTAAACGTAGTGAATCGGGTTAGTGAGTCACACAGGGAACGAATATAAAACAAGGGCTGTTTCTGACTCGTTTCTTCTGAACGCCTTAGAAGGAATAAGCACGAACAAGGAGCCTGAATGAGCGGGGAGCTGTTTGCTGAACTGCAGCGTGGTGCTAAGACCCAACGGAGAGGGAAGAGTGGCTGTACTGTGGCTGTACTGAGGCTGTACTGAGGCTGTAGTGCTCTAGGCTCAGTCTAGTGCTACGCTTCTACTCTGCTAAGCGTGGAAACCAGACTGTGACGCACTAAATGGCAGGACAGGCTCATGCGGTGCCTTGAAGTCAAAGACAAGGAGCTCAAGCTTAGTGTGACAGAGGGAGAGGACCCAGGAGATTCAAACACAGGAGACTGTGGTTAGGGTCAGAAGACTAACTATAGGAGCTGCATTTAGGGTGCATGAAAGAAGGTGGGAGGGTACGATTGTGTTGTCCGTGCTCAGGTGAAATTCTGCCAGTTAACACGTTATTTTTGACTTTATTGCCATGTAGCTATTTCCTGCCCCGTATTTCCATTCAGTCTAGATCCAGAGGAGAAAAGATGGGAATCTTTTCCCTCTTCAGTATTTGCCAGGAGGGTTTTTCAGGCTTTGGCATTTGCATTCCTCACAGGAAAGCTGCAGGATTGCAAAGGGAGAGCAGCAAACCAGCCGTCAGGGCAGGAAATGCTACTGCACCTCACAAAGTCTCCCCTCCTCTTTTGTCCCTGCCTCTGGCCTGTGTTGTTTGAAATCATTTGGGTTGTTCTCTAATGGGAGCTGAGTAGGAGTGTGTCAGAGGTCCACAGTATTTTTAGAGCCAACTTCCCTACTCCCGTTTACCTGGTCTGCTGAAAAATTTTGTTGACTTCTTCCAGGAGAGAGCTATTTGGGGAGGAATTTTGCCCAGGAGCTCAATAATACGAGCAACATGATCTGGATGGAGGAGAGAAAACACATCTCGATGCAAAGATTATGGCTCTTTTGTCATGAAATCAATAAAACTAATGGAGTCTTACCATCATCTCTGGAGAAATATTTCCCAGGTCGAGGATCAAATAGACACTCTCCAGTTGCCATTTCGAATGCCTAGAAGTGGAGCAGCATTGTTAATGCACTGGCTGACGTGGAGTTTTTCTTCACCATTAACTCTGATAGTACCAGTGGCAATTTCCCTTCCTATTATACAAAACGAAGACATGGAAAACCACGCACACTCCTGCTGTCCATACCCTATCATTGTGAAATAACACTTCTTGCTCCTGTAGGATGAAAACCAGCATGGGCCTGATTTGCTCACGTCTATCAGCTTCCCTATACGAGCAGGAATTGCCTTACAGCGTAAGCTAATTGAAGTGAATTTTATCAGGAGCCTACATGTCTGAAATTAATGAATGCAGAAAGCCTGTTCGTCCTCCGGTGACTCAGTAACGGCAAAGAAACCTTGCTCTGCAGATAGCTGGCTAGCTGAGGACGTGCATCCCCTGGCCTGGAAATGTCACTCATGCATGTTCCCTGCATGCAGTGCATGGTGTCCCATCCTACCAGGCAGCCTGTGCTCCAGATATCTGCAGGAGTACCATAGTCTAACCCAAGAAGCACCTCCAGGGCACGGTACGGTTGGGTCTGGATCTCCTTTGAAAGAGGCTTGTACTGGAACAGAAACAAACTACATTTGGTTGATATCCATGAAGTAAGAGCAGGATTTGCTGGCACAAGCTTTTGGCACAGTGACAAGGGCCAGTGACACAGAATTGAATGTACATATTAAACTGTGTGCGGGGAACAGCACATGCATACTCAGCTCCATTGGCAGCAGGGTGAATTTATCCCCTGAAAATTCCACAGAGAACATGGTTTTAGATTTCTAGTTGTAGGTAGGGACAGTTTCCATCCATGGAGATATTCCAAAGCCATCTTGACATGGCCCTGGGCAACATGCTGTAGGTGACACTGCACGAGCAAAGGGGCTGGATGGGGCAATTTCCAAAGATCCCTTCCATCCTCAGCCGTTCTGTGATCTTGTGGCTAACTGCAAGCTGAATAAAGGTCTCAAGTGGACAGTATCTCCAAGAGTGTAGATCCCATCTCTGAACTGGGACTGCTGAATATAACACATGCTGAAGTCAGCATCTCTTTAGTGCTCTCTGAAATAGCTATTCAGCTGTGAATGGGTGGCAGACAGCCAAGGGCTGATGGAAAGGAGCAGGTAGCGTCTCGCCTCATCTTGGAAATGAGACTGAGCAGACTCACCGTCCAGCACGCGCTGCCCAGGTCTGCAATCTTCACTTCTACGTTCATTAAATCACAGGCTTCCAGTTGATAGCCAAGATCATCTCCTAGGTGGAAAGGACAGAGAGAAATCAAGTGTTTCTCCAAACCATCAGGTACTTCACTTACCACATACATGCCTCCCTTTAAACCTTCTCAGCCTTAAAGATGATACAGCTTCGTGATTAAACCATTGCATACATAACTTTTTGGTGTCTGAAAACACCAGAAACTGTCCTGCACCTAAAGCTGTGAGGATCTGCTCTCAGGTTATGGTGACATTACTGGCATTATGTTAAGGTTATTAACAAATACCTGATTTGTAGTTGTTCTCTGGACAGACCTACATGTAAACCCACATCTATGCAGGCACCTTGAGAAACTCAGGGTAACTTAGGTGTGACATTTGTGTTGAGCAGAGATAGAAGAGAGTTATCACCATGAACCGCCTGTACTATTTTGTACTGGCCACTGCAGGAGTGGCAAGCTTTTTCATTTCATAAATCACGTCTTCCTAACTGCCTCTGAATTTCTTTCCTGGTAATAAGCTTTTAAGTCCTTTCAGAAAATCTGTACTGCTTACCTGGTCCCTTTAGCCCCATCTCTGTTCTCTGGCTGGAGTCGACAACATCAGGTAGAAGCTTTTGGAGGGTCTTGTCCCCTACACACAGCAGAATGTTCTCTGGTTTGATGTCTGTATGAATAATCCGACAGCGTTTGTGCAGGAAGTGCAGGCCTGCCAGCACCTGAGACACACAATAATTCATGTTAACAACATAGAGATCTCCCCTTTCTCCCATCCCAAGTAACCTTTAGTGCTTTAGAGTGTTAGATCACACAATGGATGTGATCTGTGGAGGTCCTGGTACGGAGGGAAGACGACACTGGTGATGAGAACTTCTTATAATAAGTTATTTTTATATAATGGGTCCTCTGTATTAATGTGGAGTTGCACCCAAAACAGTGGTGTCGTGGGTCAGGGTGGGCCTGTGGGAGCACACGCAGGGGGCTTCACATCCAGGCTCAAGGAATAGCTGCCACCTAGACCTATGGATTCAGCGTGGTAAATGATATGGAGCCTGTAGATCCCAGCAGTGAAGGGCTGTGTTTGGAGGATGCAGAAATGCCACTCAGCCAGAAGCAGGTGAGAAAATCCACAGACGTCAACATGGATGGACAAGCCTGCAGAATTAAGAAGTATATGCAGAAGGCAGCAGCCTTACAGAAGCCAGGACTAGAGGGAGGTATTATGGTCACAACTCTGACTTATCTCCTGAAAATCCACTTGCTGGTTGCCTCTCGCATCCCTGCACTGCCATCCTTGTTAGTACTGCATTATTGCTGGGCGGGAAGTCGGGGCTTAGAAAGCGTTTGACATGACAGGGTGGGTGGCCCTGCCTCCTGAGTGATCCCATCGTGCAAGTAAAGAAAAGGAGATGAAGCACAACCCAGACAGGAGGAGCGAGAGACCATGAGGGATTATGTGTAGGGAAGAATTCAGGGTCCATGTAGGGAAAGGAAAGCTTACGATGGAGCAGGGAGAGCTGGGCTTGTCACGGGGGAGAGATAAACAGTGCAGATGAGAGAGAAACATTCACTCTTGGAAATCAATAATAGCAAAAAGACCACGGGGAGAAGATGGGTTTTACGCTCTGGTCAGTCGTGGAGTGCTGGCAGATTTTCTGTGCATTATCAAAATCTATTCTGGGATGAATACCAGCCCCAGGGAAATACCAACCTTAAATGGTAACTCTGAGACACAAGGAAAGATTTTAATAGCTAAAATGGAATGAATCAGAAGTAAATACTGCCCCAGTGCTGATCTGAAGGGAAAAAGCAAAAGGTTTTGAGATTTTTTACAGTTTAAGCACATAAGTGGGTTCATTCTTAGTGTCTGTAAAAGAGCAGAGGCATTGAAGGAGCAAATCTTGGTCTTGACAAGGCAGTGGATTTCTAATCTCAGCATTGGAGGCAAAATATAATTTTAAATACTCTGAGGCCTTACTGAGGTTTCCCATTGCTTAGCTGTTCATGGACAATGTAGGAGAAATTCAGTTTCTGTGATCTGTTTGATCAGTGTGCCACATCCTTTCAGGGATGAAGGGAGGGCTGGCTCTGAACAGACATGGGTGGAAGACCGTCCAACTGAACCAGCTACTTACAAAGCCTCTGCAATGAAATTATCCATGAGACAGACCTCTAGCAGCCTCCACTAATGCTGTGTGGAGCTATAGGGGAGCTATAGGGTCCTGCTGAGCCCTGCCTATGTCAGTGCTGCTCACAACTGGATGCCGAGACGAATTCCAGCAGCCCAGTGTCACTGCAGGAAGGGCAGAGGTGCCTATGGTTTGCCAACAAGAAGCAGAACTATGGAAGGCTGTTTGTCCCCTGCCTCTGCAGCGAGTGGCAGAACTGATCCCAGGAGAAATGCAGTGATTACTGAGATCTGACCAAAACGGTTGTCTCCGAATGCCCGGGGCAGGTCTGCAGCTACCGGCTCTTCACGCTGGTGGTCCTGACTCCTTTCCAGACCTCATGAGGCTACAGGCATAGCCAGCGATGAACAGTGCGCCTGTGTTAACGGGAACACGATGAGTTCCCACTCTGCATTTTATTTCTTTTCTTAAACATTTTCTCTCCATATACCCCAAGGAATCTTCCTTACAAAGCGCATGCCCTGGGAGCTGACTCGGCGCCGTTCCTGTCTCTGCAATAGGAATCCCACAGGAGCTCATGGCTGATGACCCCAAGCTGAACACAGCAGTGTCACCCCCTGCCAGCCAGTTCCTCAGGACCACCTCCTGCTTGAGAGCTAAGTTCTCACCTGCTGTAAAGACTTTTTCACAAAGGGCAAAGGAAGGCCCTGGGCTGCATAGTTGCCCATCAGACTTCTCAGAGAAGGACCCAGTGCTTCAAACACCAAGCACATATGTGGGAAAGAGTCATGGATTCACTAACAGGGAGAAGATGCTACCTGCACCATTTTGCCCTTCACCAGCGTGGCCAAATACCTCCTTATTCCTCCTGCCCCCACCAGCCACTTGCACGTGCCCAGGTCCAGCTGCTGCTCCGCTCTTCCTCATGAGACAACTTTTGGCTTTACCCCATCGTGTGACCTCGCCAAGGCTGTGCCCACCCCGAGCTGCAGCGCCCTTAGCAGAAGGATATGGAAGCCGTTCTCTCCCATCATTCTGAAGTCATCTAATAAACAGATGATGTTTTCTCCCGCCCGGTCCTTCTTCCTCATACTGCTCACCTGGAGGGAGGATTCCAAGAAAACTGCCGTTAAAGATGTCTATACGCACAAGGGCATCTTGCAGCAGCGCTTCACATCTGTGCCGTGGGCTATACTGTGAGTTTGCTCCCACAGGACCCTGATGTTGGTACCGCAGTGAGTACTTTGGTGCCAACCCAACATGGGTTTGGGCTGGGCTGTCATGCAGCTGCCTGGTGTGGCAGCAGCAGGAGGTTTCGCTGGGGTGACCAAGGTGAGCAGCTGGTGGGAGGCTGCATCTTCAGCAACCCACCACCTTCGAGGGATGGGAATGGCCCTGGGAAGCAGCTCTGTTCTGTTGAGTAGGAGTGTCTTTCCGAGAAAAAAATGATTAAATTTCAGAGAGAATCATAATGAATTAAGGGTAAGTTTTGGTCTCTACCCATCATTATGCTGATGCGCAGAAAAGCACCCCTTGATTGGGTTAAATTAGTGCCACTTTGTACATCCTCTTGCATCACTAAGTCTGCCCCATATCCCTTTGGACATGGCCTGCAGATTTGCAGGTGCAAACTACGCCTTTCCCATAGCTGTTAGAAAAAGGCCTCTCAGTGATTTGTAATGCAAAAATTAATTACTTTTTTTCATATACAGCTGATGTAACTTCTTATTTAGGCAAACTTCAAGAATTGTAACCAGGAGCTTTCTAGAACTAGCAGGTCAAGCTACCTTCAAAGGCAAGTAGCTGAAACTCAGATACATGCCAGAGCCCTGGCAAAGGCAAAAGAATCCTTTCTGAGTTCAGATGTTTATTATATTTTGCTACATCCTACTTTCATTTATTTTTCTTTTTCAGTTGTCTCCATTTACTTCACTATCTGTTGTGATGGGAATAACCTATTCCTGGGAATAGGAGCTGGGAACGACACAGAGAGAGTGGAAACATTCCCACCTCTTTGGACTTGTCCTCCTGGTCTCTTTGGACTCGTCCTCCTGGTTTTTCCCTGTTGATTAACCAGCCTGCATTGCTGCAGGTTCCTCCTGCTCACTGCATTTTCCTCCTGCTTACTGGATTCCTTTCTCAGCTCAAAGGAATGGGCCTACGGGCCAAGCAGGGCACAAGCAACCTCGCCAGCACAACAGGAAGGAGAAGCTGGCCATTTCAGAGGCCAGTGCTGAATAAAGGCAATTTATATCAAGTAGCTAACATGTTTTTTTTGTTGTTCTTGCTGTTCTCCACCTCAGCCTGACAGCTGGAAGGAGGATGGTGAAGCTGCTGCTCAGACTGAACGCAGGGGCCATTCCCATGGAGCATGGAGCCAGAGAAAGAACATACGTACACATCGGAGGAGAGCGACCTCGTCCTGGGCAGCCTCAGCGAAGCTCTGCCCGCTCCTGGGGACCTTCACAGCTACGTGTTTCTTCCTCCTGTGAGGTGAATCAGAGCTGCATGCCAGCGCACGCCAGTGCAGCGCCGCGCAGCACCGCTCCTTCGCCCAGGCAGCCTGCCCTGGCTCGACCCTGCTGGGAGCAGCCTCGCTTTTACCCGCGGCACGAAGGACCACGTGCGTCTCTGCAGGCACTGCTGCTGGCATCTCGCAGCAGAGCTGCGCCAGGGAGCAAGGAAAGACCACAGAGTAAAAGGCAGAACATGGATCCTGCAGGGTCTGGCCTCTGCTAAGCAAGAGGTGGAGCAGGAGCTGATCCCACCTAGTTTATGTTCTCCAGTTTCTGGGGAGCAACTGTGCTGTCTGCCACCCACTGATCCTGCTGCCCGGCTTGCCCCCGCTCCGGTCACTGCAGTCCTCCTTGGGAGCCCCACACACCGAAGCATCGGAGCCGACGCTGACCCCGCTCGGCTGCTTGTGCACGAAAGGGACTGGCCCTGCCCTCGAGGAGAACAGCACCCCCTTCCCGCAGCCCCCCAAACGTGCGCAGCCCCTCACCTCAAGTCTTGGCACAGCCAAACGGTGGCAAAGGCCCCGCAGCCCAGCTTGCGCAGAGCCTGGTATCTCATGTTGAACACCTCTCCTTCTTGTGCTGCGTGGTGCCTTCCTGTGGGGACAGTGCCAGGAGGACACGGTACTGGCATGGCCTTAAATGCCGTTCGACTGAAGGAGCAACTGGTGAGTTATCCTCCCAGTGTCTGGTTATCCCCCAGGACAGGTCACCAGGAGCCTCCTCTGGCCTGGGAAGAGCCTGGCACAATCCCGGCTCTGGAGTTGCATGTTGGACTGACCTGTGCGCTTGGCTGCAGGTACCTCCTCCTGCACCCGCTCCTGTTCTTCCATCATTGCAGCAGATCCTGCTCCAAAGGAAGGGTGGCAGAGTGGAACCAGGGCTTGCCGTGCAGGTGCTGCAGTCCTCAGCACTTCACTCCTTTGAACAGAGGTAGGTAGCTGCAGAGCAGCCGTTGGTTCCTAGTGCATGGCATGCACGTTGGCATGCATCGCTCCTCCCCTCAGCCCTGTCCTTTCCACCTGCTTCCCCAAAACCTGGAGCAAGCTGCCGCGAACACTTTTGGCACTTTGGAGAGGTTAGGGGCTATTTTAAGAGCGCAGAAAAGGAAAGCTGGCAGGCTGGGCTTGAGCAGGGCTCCTGGCCGCGAGCAGCCGGGCCGCAGCCCAGCAGGACTCTCGGGTTTCCTAGAGCCTCGTGTGGATTTTCGGGGGCTTAGCGGGGCCTGCGGGATCCCCTGTGGCGGCTGCAGCGCTGCGGGACGTGGCGCGGCGAGCAGACCCCGCACTCGCCGCCGGCAGCAGCCTCCCCACCAGCACTAAACAGGGCAAATTCCTCTGTTTTTGGCCCCGCAGCGCTGCACATGTCTGCAGCCTCGCCCCGCGGCCAAGGCAGGTGTTTATCAGCAACCAGCCCCTGACCCCCCAGGAAAGAGGCTGTGCCTGGGGGCCGTTGTCCCCTGTTACTATAGCACCCAAAAGGGACAAACAGAGCCAGTTTAGACAGACGGATGCAACTGCCACCGCCCCGCCAGCACCCGGGCAGAAGCAGCCAAAGCAGGAGGTCACCTGGAGCGACACCCGTGTGGCCGATGGAGATACTGATGGAGGCGCCTGCAGCTTGGGGCTCCAGCCCGGCACCTCCTCACGTGGAAACGTCACTCGCTCTATGGCCTGCCCTTCACATTAACGTGCCTTGCTGGGGCTCGCGACACGCGACAACTGAGTAGCCCATTCGCACGGGTGGAAATATTGACCCTGACGTGGTGCAGAATTGGGCGCTAAAGCGCCGGGGCGCGTTCCCCGCCGTGGGGAGGCGTTTGGGGCCGCGGCGCCTGCCTGGGCACGCGGCCTCTTCTGACGCCGCTGCCTCCTAAGAGCAGGTTTCCTTTGCACATCCTGCTGCTCCTTTCTCACTGCAGCGACCAGAGATGTAGTCTGGCTTTGGGAACCAGCCGAGTTGCTCAGGGCCAGGTTGTGTTTGAGGCTCTGTTCCTGCCGGGGATAGCAGGAGTGCTGGAGCTGCTCTTGCTCCGTTTACCCCAGCTCATGCAGGGTGAAAGGAGCTCCAGGTGGCTCCATCTCCTTGTATTCTTCTCGTCCTCTAGTCCTGGCACTTACAAGTGTTCAGAACTTGCATCATTTAGGCATAAACTTCCGGGGTGCTGCCTCTCCCTGTGACCAGTCTCTTTGGCAGTTGCCCTGTCTATGAAACTTGGGTGAAATCAGCAGCATTTCCCTTGTTTGTGAGCACGGTCTCCACGTATCAACACCCCTCCGAGCCGCTACACCACCAGAATACACCAGGACCTGTTCATTCACAGCTTCCAAGGTTTGGGCAGGTTGTTAGGGACCGCTGTGAGGGTTGGTCTGAGATCTGAACAGCAGAATTGGAGCAATGTTAGAGAATTACTTTCTTACATTGTTCACCTCTACCAAAGGAAATCTACCAAAGGAAAAATTTAAGAAACTATCTGAATGGCAGTTAAACAACATCTTCCCTAGAGAGACTTTTTGGGAAAATAGGAATCTTTGGCAGGAAGGCAATACCATCACAGTGCAGTGTTTAGGACACAAAGCCAGGCTCATTTAGCATAAAACACGTTCTAACTCAGGCTGATTGAGCTTTTGAACTCGGGTTCCGCATCCTCTCTTGCAGCTGAGAGCCAGCCAGGCCCTTCCTTGGGCGTGTGAGACTCCATGGAGGTGAAGAGCCCACCATAGCTACGTGATAGACAGGGACAAGCAAGGAGTGTTGCTATGCAACTTGCTAGAGAAGAGCAAAGCACATTTTTCCAAGCTTTGTAACGAAGGACAATTAATAATGTTTTTAAAGACTTCATCACTTTATATCTTTTTTTTTTTTTTTGATTAAAAGCTACATCCTGCAGAACTTGCCAGTTTGCTGCAGGTGTGGAGCGGGCCAGAAAGCCTCATCCAGCCTTGGAACACGCGGGTGCTGCCTTGTGCACGAGAGCTCCAGGTAGGGAGCAGCGCTGCGCTCCGGTGGGGTGGCCCGAAGGACCTGATCTGCCCCAGCCGTTGTGCCCAGAGGGGCTCCCGCGAGCAGCCCCGCTCGCACTGCCTGCACCTTCCCTTCAGCAGAGCTCACCAGAGCCACATGCACCAGCAGAGCCCTGCAAGCCCCGGCCTGGGAGGCGCTTGCTGAATGCAGCATCCCTGCAAGCTGCAACGTGCCCCTCGAAACCAGCCCCGGCCGCCCTTTGCAGACTCACTGTGCAGCCGCCCGCGGCGCCGCTCGCGATCCGGCTCATGCTGGAGCTCCAGGAAGCAAAGCCCAGCTCGTCCCGCTCTCCTTTTGGTCTGCGCTGCCTAGTAGGGGTGTCCTTGAGCAGACCAGAGTCTCCTGCATCGCTGGATAGACGCGGTGGGGAACGGGATGGGGTATCGGATCACAGCACAGCTTCCTGGAACAAACCTTGGCTTCGGGAGGGCTGGGAGACCCAGGACAGCTGCAGTGGATTTGTTTTCGTGCCAGGCTCTCTCTGCACCTGTCTGAGCAGCTCCCTGCCTCCCCTCCACTCCCCTCGCTGCAGGTCTGCGAGGCTGCTGCGACCTCCGCAGTCTCCACAGCAACTATTTATAGAGGGAAGCTCAGAGCTCTGCTAGGATGGAAGCAGAAAAATCCTTCGCTGCTGCTCCGCCGCCCCTGGAAGCAGGAACCAGGGGCTGCCCGTGGCCGGGCTCCCACGGGAGCGCAGCCGGGGCACCCTGTCCTGCCCCTGCCCAGCCCAGCCATCCCCAGGAGCGCCTGGCAGCAGGGACAGGCTGCCGGGGCACCTCCACGCTCGCCCTGCCGAGGCACTCGGGCCTCCCCAGCGGTGCCGGCACGCGGCCCGACGCCGCACGGGGCTGCCGACCGCAGCCCCAGCGCTGTCCCCAGTGGGGACAGGGAAGGGTTAATCTGCTGCTAAAGAGGAGCAGCGGGTGCAGGGGACCCTGCCTGCCCAGCCACGGTGGAACCAGGGAGCACACGGGAAGGCAGCTGGCCCCGGCACCCAGGCAGATGCCACCACAAGCAGACCGTCTCCAGCACCCTCCTAGCAAAGGATGGAGGCAAAGAGGGAGGTTCTGGCAGCTACAGGAGGCTGGGGGCACCTGGGTGGTGTTTGGAGAGGCTCAGGCCCCGACCCCTCTGCCGGGAAAGCCAAGGGTGGCGACGGCAGGATCCAGGGCTGCAGCTCCGAAGCCTCAAAGTAGGAACAGGCAGGAGGTCGAGGTGGGGGAAAGAAGAAAAGAAACCCTGAGGGAGCCGAGCAGAGGTCTTTAGTTTAGGAATTAAGCTGTCAAGCTGCATTAGGAAGAGCAGCTCATTACTGTGGTGGACAACAGCAATGAACATAAACGACAGCACAAGCAGCCCCAAGTCCCGTGCCCTGCCCGCGCAGCCGGGGCCCCGGGAGCCCCACAAGCTGCCGGGGCTCCTGCTCCTCCGAGAGGTCCCTCGGGGCTGGAGGCTCAGCCAGCGCCCAGGAAAGCGGCTGGGGCCGTGAGCGAAGGGCGGAAAGAGAAGAGTCCCGAACCTGCACGCGGGAGCCAGCGCCGCAGGGGGACATTTACCTCAATGCAAAGGCAGCGGCCGTGGTGCAGCCAGCACGAGAGGGACAACCCTGCGCTCCTGGCAGCCGTCCGTGCGCCGGTGCCCCCAGGAGCTGACACTGGAGAGCGGGAGACGCGAATAGATCCCCAACAGCTGCAGCACGGGGCAAGACAAGGGCGACGGCCAGGTTGTATATTAAAATTTATTGAATTATTGTGTAAGAATTCTCTTTATTAAAATCATTTGGACTCTAAACTGATTATTTACAGACAAAACCTCTTATATCACCAATAGATTCCTACATCTCAGAACAGTATCTACAAACAGTTATTACACTATGTAACAAAATTCGGATTTTTTTTCAAGCTTTTTATATTAATTATTAATTCCAATTTGAGAAAGACAGTACCTCAGGTGCTTGGAGCAGAACTCAAGATGTGGCAGGGCAGGAATACAGGTCAGGCCAGACCAGGACGGAGGGAGAGACACCAAGTTACAGGAGCGGCGGCGGATACAGACACAGGGACAGAGCAATGCGGGGAGGAAGGACAGAGCAAACACACCGGGTGCTCTGGAAACCAGAGGAACCATCCCAACGAGAAAGGCACCCAAAAGAAAAAAAAAAGCAGCATTTCACTGCAACTGGGGCAAACGTTGAAAGAGAAACAGCGTTCCATCGAGGCCGCAGCATCCACAAATCCCCCTCATTTTCAAAAAAGAAAAAGAAATAGCTTTTAAGTTTAGCAAAAAACCTAAAAAGCTTCCAGCTGCAGCCTGTATTTGCCCCCAGGCAGGTAGAAGCAAGTGCTCTTGCATCTCGCATCCCCATCTCGTGGGTGCCAACTACCCTCGGTCACGCCAACAGCACACAGACACTGAAGGACACTAACAGATACGTCTCTTAATACTGATAACTTCAGCTCTGTGTTTCACCCCCATCAGGGTGCACACAAAATTCTTTCCTTGCCTATGGTATAAAAGCAGGTGCCTGTCACCAGGAACATATTTTTACTAAAACAGCAACATCCCATGGCAGCACTCGCATCCTGCGGGAAGAGGACGGAGGCTGCAGGAGGCCCCACCAGCCACTGTCCCCGCAACGTGCTCCCCGTAAGGAAAACTCCACAGAGGGGTGTTCCTTGATCGAAAACAGCGGCCACTTCTGCAGTGACAAACCAGTCCGGGCACCAGGCAGAGACTGGAAGAAAACTGGAAGGATTATGAGAAATAAATAAATCAGTCTTCCCTATGAGAGGGAATTTTGTAACAAACACTGTTTTGTGCAAATTTAAATGCAGCCTCCCCCTGTTGTAGGAATGGGTTTTGCCACACAAGAGGGGCATGGACGGAGAAGGATGGTGCCATGACTGAACATCCACGCTGATCCCATCAAGGGACATAAGTGCATGTCCACAACGCAGGAGGACGCTGGTATCTACAACACCAAGGACAGACTGGCCAGAAGAGCTGAGCACAAGCTTGAGATGTTAAATAATAGAGCTAAATTTAAGTGACTTATTTAAGTTTTGATTATTGCTGTAGTAGAAGTGGACGTTCACAGGTAAGACTCGGAACAGAAATTGTTTCCAACATCCACGAGCGCTGCTGAGAAGGTGACGTGGAGCCCATTTGCTCTAAGGCCCAAGTCAGCGAGAGCTTCTGCTCTCAGCCCAGTCACACGGGACTGGAGCTGGCAACACCCACGGGTGCCCTGCAGGACCTACGAGCTGCCGAAGGGGAGCGGAGCAGACACCTCGATTCTGGTTACTACAATCCTAGGAATGGCCCCGACTCTTCCTGCCTTTGCTGAGGTGAGGTGGGTCTGGATTAAGCCCCACACAGCACCGTGCTGGGGGGCACGGGGAAGACGCTGCAGGAGCAGGGAAGCAGGAGGGTCTGCGGAGCCCGGAGCCGGCAGCGGCCGGTGGCTCCGGACAGGCACTCGGCCACTTGGAGAGGTCACAGGCCAAGTCTTGCTGCCGAGCTGGCCTGCCTGGCACCACGGAGGTGGCACAGTCCTGTGCTGCCACCAGCTGTTCCTTCACTCCTTCATTTACCTTCGCCTGCCTCAAGGCAAGGAATTTCCTAAGGACACAGGCTTTATGGACCTATCTTCAACGCGCTTTCTCCCCTCTGGCAGCCCTTCCCTGCGCCTCTCCGGGCTCGCTGGCAGCCCATGGGCCGCGGCTGGGAGCGAGCTCCGGTTCAGAGCCGCCTCTCGCGCGCGGCTGCTGCGGCAGGGGCGGCCCCGACTTGGTGCCCGCACCGGGGCAGGGGGGCTCTGGCCTCCCCTTTCCGCAGCAGCAGCCACAGGGCTCTGCACAAGGCCAGCCCGGCTGCTCCAGGTGCAAGGACAGGGGACAGTGGCTGTGCTCTGCACACACAGGGTTTTGGGGAGCACTCGGGATCATTGCCGCGGGAGGCTCGGAGGACAGAGCAGGCTCTGTGGCACAGCGGGTACGGAAGCAGAGGCAACGCGAGCTCAGAGCGTTGCACTGCTCCGAGAGCAGCTTCCCAAGGTACAACAGCGCCCAGGGCAGAGCGGGGAGCTCTGGGAATGCTCTGTGTGATGCAGGGACACGAGCCTTGTCTGAGCCGTGGTCCTGCCTGGCCTGCACCCGCAAGGGCAGCGAAGGACGGGGCGGGCACAGCCTGAGCCAGGCAAGCGAGGCAGCCCAGCTGGCGAGGGCAGGACGTCCTTCCACCAGGAAGTCACTCCCAACGGGCACAGGGACCAGCCCGAGTGCCTTAGTGCTCTCCAGGAGGGGACAGAGAAAAGCTGCCCAGCAACAGTCAGCGACAAACTCAGTTTATGCCCAGCTCCTTCCTCGTTGAATCTCGCCCCTTTGCAGGACACCCTTGGGGAGCAACACAGTTGTGCTTCGTAGCTTGAGTTCACAGCTCGCCAACCCATCCTTCCATGCACCACGGCTGCAGAGTTTGAGAAGTGAACTTGTGGATAAGGTAAAGCAAGCCTAAGAGCAAGCCTAAGGACAGAGCTAAGCCTGGGACCGAGCTGTGGAGAAAGCGAGCGGCTGTTACGACAACGGACACATCTGAGAGTTATCCCTGCAGACAAAGCAGTGGAGAAAACTTTGCTCCAGTGCTGACAGACGTTTGTCAGTAGAAGTGCACAGAGATGCTTCTCCAGGAAAAGCTTTGTCTCAAAGCCACAAAGTTAAACATTCTCCTTTAGCATTTAAATACATTATCTTTCCGAGGGTATTTACAAGTCCAGTTTAGAGCAGCAGAACAGCTAGACACCAAAGGGAGGGGAAGTGGCACAAGGCATTTGTTGTGCTTTCTGAGGAGCAGGGCAGCTTCTGGCCACAGGGAACCAGGGAGACGGAACCAGAGCGGGGTCAGTGGAGACCGAGGCGGGCCAGGCAGCCTCCGCCTCACACGCCAAAACTGTCCTGAGCGAGAGGGCAGGCGTGCGGCATCCAGGTCTCTGGGCAAGCACCCATGCTTGTGAACGCGTCCCATCCAAGCAGGCTTCGCACACAAGCTGTCAGAGACCAGAACGTGCGGGAGCAACGTCCTTTGCCAGCACTCCCTCTCTTTCCACAGCCAGCATCCACAAGCAGAGGGAACATTTCCACAAGGACATTTCTCAGGTGGCGTACGGTCGTTGTACTCACTAGTCCATACAGTCTGTACGGGTCTACAGAGAGGTAAGCCCAGCCAGCAGCCTGGGAACGGGTTCCTGTGTCCCTCCTGGTCCGGAGAGAGGCTGCAGGGAAGTAGCCGAGCTGCGGGCTCCCCGCTGGCCAGCCTGCTGGGGCACCACAGCTGCTCACAGCTGCAGCGCTAAAGCCAGCGGCTGCAGCAGGGGAGTCCTCAGCACCGGCGGCCGAGGTCGAGGTCTCCATGGACGTGGTGCTTGGCATCGTCACCTGGCTCTTCAACAACGTGGTTTGGAAACTTGGCACATTCATAAGACATCTGTAGGAAGGAGCTGTCTGGTCTCCCTGACATTCCGGGTCAGAGGAAGTCACAAGTTCTTTTTTGTTTTGCTTTTAAAAAGAGAAAACTGTAAAAAAATATTCTCTGAGATGCAAGGACGCTTGTACTTTGTACTGCCTCGGCCGTCCCTGTTCACGTCACCCGCTGGTTCCCTGGAGAGCCTGGTTCCAATGGCAGCAGGACACCTTGTGTATAGCTAGGACGAGCACTGTCCCTGTCGAGCCAGGTGAGAGCGTCAGTCTGACTGTGCGTGTCACAAATCTGTGACTTTATTCTCCACAGCTGCTGCAATCTGTTGCAGTCTATAGCCAAGCTGCATCTTCTGCGCCGTTGGGTCTTCTTCCAAGGCAGTAATGATCTGCAATGAGACAGAGCTCACGGGCAGCCCTTCTGCAGCACGTAACACCCAAAAACTCAGCTCCATGCACAGCACAGGAGCAGTGTAAAGGGCCCAAAGCGGGTCCCCTGTGCTCAAGACGAGAGCAGACATGCAGTAATTCGACTCAAATGTACATTTTAACCATAAGTAGTCCAGATTAGTTCTAATATAAACTCAATATTGGAAAAGGCTAACCTTATTTGAAGGTTAACCTTATTTGAAGGTTGACCTTATTTGAATTTGTTATTTCATTAACAAATGAATCTTAACTGCATTTCAGTTTTAAGTAGAATATTTAGATACCAAAATCAAAAAAAAAAAGGGGATAGTCTTGCTGCTTTTAATTATGATGATGATTTTTTTATTATTGAGTGAGCTCCCAATATAAACTTACTGGTTCATCAACACATGACAGGAAAGAGCAGAGCATGTTCGTATCTACTGGAGACTCACCTGGTCATAGTACTTATTGATGTATTTGTACAATTCATGTAGAGCCACCAGGGAATTGAGGTCACCTGAGTAATTCTGAATAAAGAGAGTCAGTTAGCCAAGATCTTCAAATCTCTAACAAAACTGCTCCTCCAAATTCTGTGTCCTCACAGCTCATAAGGGATTGTGCCAGTCACTAAACCCAGCACAAAGCACCAGGAAAGGGAACTCACTAGGCTTCCTAGTGAAGGAAAAGTCACAATAACTCTTTGTGCTGAATCCTTGATGGTTTTCTCTTAAACACTAGCTGAGCAGAATCAGCTAGAATATCTGATCTTTGCACTGACTTTCTAATATACGTGCAGGAAAGAGACTAGGGCAATTTCTGAAATAAATATCCGTATTTACCCGTGACAGCTCAGCCAGGGCAGAATTCATCTCCTGATCGCTGGCAGAGATGGTTTGACGAATGTCTGCATAATACCTACGTGGGAGTAAACAGTAAACAGTCACTGCTCTGCTTCTCCTCATCTCCTTATGATCATTTAAGCCATGACTTGCATACATTCAATACTCACCTTTCCACCATCTGCTTGTAGCGAGGAATGTCCCGGGCATAAAGCAGCTTATTGATTGGAGAGTCCTTGAATATCCAAAGCAGAATTAGTCACAAAAAAACCCTCTTCACCACACAGTCAGCTAAACTTAGCCCACTAATCTGTACCATTCATTGGGGCAGGGAATTTTGTCTTATGCATGGAAGGGCACTTCAGGGGCTAGACACCCCTCTAGACAGTAACACAGTTTGATAATCACAAGATTGGAATGGGAAGGGACCTCTGGGATCTCTAGCCTAACCTCCCCCCTGAAGCTGCGCTGAGGGACATCACGTTTTCTGTGGTCTTGTCTATCTGAGGTTTGAAACCTGCAGTGACAGCAGAGACCCTCCCTATCCCTGGTGACCTGTGCAGGGCTGCTCCACTATCAGCAAGGAAAAAGTAGGGGGAGAAAGGAGCCAACCCAAAGTTCTCAAGACGCAATCTGTCTCATTAGCACCATCTACTAGAAGCAGTACGAGTCCAGTTCTGTTCCTCAGGCAGCTACAAGGCTGTAGTTAAAACTCCGCTCAACTTCTGCAGCGGGCTAAACCAAACCAGCTCCTCCTCCTCCTCCTCTTCACAGCAATCCCCAGGAATCACTTCAATGCTAAGGGGACACGTGGGAGCAGGGAATTTCCCACTGCAATTAAGGTGACATTCCCGTCTTCCTGGGCAGCACTGCTCAGACTGCGCTAACCATGCTTCCATCTCCGTGCTTACCCTCCCCAGCTTATGGTCAGCAATTGTACAGGAGTCCATGAAGGTCTGTGCAATGACCAGGAGCACAGCATCGACGTTATCCGATGTCTGCACGTCGAAGACAAACTGAGGGTTCTTAATGATGTTGATCCAGAACCGCAGGGGTAGGCTGTGGAGAAGGCAAACATGACAAGATATCAGAAAAGATGAAGGCCATGGTGCTACACATGCTGCTGTTTTTCATTTCCTATCCTTGCCCTCTCAACAAAACCCTATTTTCATACTGTGCTCTGCTGTATCTCCCATTCTGCTCCCCCTCAGTGCTGATCGCGGTGGCTGTCACCTCACAACTGTGCATGACTCCCACCAGAGCCCCATACCTGTTTGTCTTCCAGATATGGATGGTCTCAGGGTCTGCAATCCCATAATGTATTGCCTGCTCATCCAGCAGGTCAAAGAAGTACTTGACAGCTAGAGGGACGGGGCGGTTTGTGCTGAGGATCACCTGGAACAAGTCATCCACAAACTTCTGCAGAGTCCCCTGCGGAGAACCGAGCAGGGAGTCAGTACAGGCTGAGGAAAGCAGGGAGCCCAGGTCTTGGGCAGGTGAGAGGTCACCCCGTTCTGCTCAACAACCTCCACTCACTAGGCCAGAGCTCCCTCACATCCACTGCAGGGAGCAGTGCTGCTCCTCAAGGGAACCTGCTGCCGCCAGCAGGACACTGCTGAGGAAGCTGCGTGCTGAAGCAGGCGCTTCCTCAAGGACAGAGCACTAAAGCACAAGTTTTGGGGTCATTTATCTTAAACCATCACACTGAAATAAAACAAAAAGGGAATGGAAGGGGGCATTATGCCCAATTTATGACTGCAGCTGAATCTGTACATGGTGTGTACTATTAGCACCACCTTGCTGCGGCAGCTGACAGGTCAGGCCTACCCTCTTGGTCCTGGATGGGATAGGAGATGGACAGACGTGGCAGCCCAGTGGACACCGACGCCTGGGAGACTCTGCTGCTGACCACAGGCCAGCTGCCTTTTACAGAGGGACACACAGAGACAAATGGTGTGGGGACACAGGGATAAAAGCCATTGCTCACTCTCCTATAAGCCCTACAAAACCTACTCCATTAGCAGGAGCAAGACGTGGGTACTGTGGTACCGGGATCTATGGAGAACCAAGCAGCACGTGCATCCACCTAGGCCCAGGGGCTCCTCCATACGCATCCCTGTGGCCTGGCAGGGGCCTATGAGGGAGGCAAGACCTCCAGCGCAGCCAGAGCTCTGCTGCTCACCTTCATGGAGAGCAGACGGGTCAGATAGATCTCTGGGATGGCCTTGGCTCGCTCCCTGTCCCGCAGGCTCCCACGGCGGTGCTTGGGGAGCTCCGGCTCTTCTGTTGGTTTCACCAGGTGCCAAAGTTTTATTCCACCTTCATCTGCATCCTCCAACATTGGAGTTTCTGAAACAAAACAAGTGTTGGAGACTCGCATGGGTGCCACCCTGTGCCCCGTGCTCTGGGTGTCCCTGCCTGAGCAGGCGTTGGACTAGATGAGCTCTACAGGCTCCTTCCAACCTCAACCATTCCATGTTCTGTGTTCGTAGGTGTCAAACCCCTCGCGCTAGAGCTCAGCCAAATAACACTCCTTCCCATCCCCTCCCAAAGGAAGATTTCACAGCATGGAAGAAACACCAGTGGAAGAGACCTCTGTGCTAGAAAGTTTCACTGACTGTGCATTTTCATGCCAACCTCATCTTCTGCTTTTATGATCTTTTCTCTCATCTCACCCACCCAAGGCCTCCACCGTCTTGCGACACCATAAGGGTTCAAACTGCCCAGCAATCTTCTCCAGCAGTGTTAAGCCAGGCCCATAGCAAGAGCTTAAGAGCTCTGCCTCACTAACTGGCAGGTGTTGGGAAATCTTTTTATGAGAAGGCGACATCAGACTCACTTTCTCCTGGGATGTAATCCTGATTTTCCCTATGGATGTGCTTGGTCAGGCGTGGGACCAGGGCTACAGTTGCTCCATCAGGCACCTGCTCACAAGCAAAAAATCATAATTCAAAACATGAATCTCATCATTCAAAACATTTACCACAGTCCAAGTTGTAAGGGCTTATAGAACACAACACATTATGAACATGCTCTGTTACATGCTCTATGAATTAGAATTATTAAATTCTGATAACTTCCAGTCATTAGAAGTAGTGGCAGAAACAGGGTCTTTGGGGCACCAGCACTGGCATTGCTGATGCTGGGAGAGCTAGATGAGAAAAGCCTGGGGCGTCCCGAGCCACCAGGATGGCAACACCGATCCCTGCAAGGGGCTGAGGTCCTTCACATCCAGAACACACCGTGACAAGGCACAGCTTACTGGGGCAAGGTAACTAAAAACTACTTCCCGAGGCCAGCAGCTGCATCAGAGACGAGCACAACACTCATCTGACAGCAACCCAAGAGCAGCCAGAGCCACAACCAAAGCGTAAACCCATGGGAGGGTGAGGCGGGGGACGGGGCAAGGGAAGACTCCGCGTTCCGACCTTGTAGTGCTGAAGAGTGTTCAGGCGTTTCCAAGTTCCTTGGACAACAGATGTCACGTCCTCATCGGACAGGATGAGGTGACCTGCCAGCCCCGATCTCCACTCTGCAGTCAAAACACAGCAAAAAGGACAAGCTGTTTACTCTGAAAGTTGAGGCACCTCCAAACTCTCCTGTGCTCCAGTCTCGACCAGCAGAACCTTCATTCAGAGAAGACCAACCCCACACTCAGAGAGACATGTTGTAGGAAAAGGCATTTTACCCATTATCTGTATTTATCTCTCACAGCAGTGTTAAGGGATTGGCCAGAGTGCCTGAAACTTCACAGCAGCTTTTTCTCATCCCCCAAAACTAAGAGGTTTCCTGAGCTTTCAGTGCCATGACCGCTGGGGAAGGAGGCCCTGCAGGTCCACATTCTGGTCGGCTGCAACGGGGAAAAGGGAAGGTCGCTGCACTGCCAGTCAATTAAAAGCAGGAACAAATAGATTGGTCAGTAAAGGGAGGCCACCAGGAGAATCCCACACAGGGTTTTCAAGCAACTTCAAACCATCAGGAATGAGAACATAGGGCTATAATAAAAAGTTCAATGAGAATATCACTTCAGTACTGGTTAGAAAGGCAATCTGAATGTTAAGAACCTATAAAAACAGGAAAAAAAAAATCACTTAATCACTATTCCACTCTAAAAGCCATTGTTCTGGCACAGATAAACTCTTTGTAGCTATCGGCACTAATTTTTTTAATCAGTTATTCAGTAGCAAAATTTCCATCTGGAACTCTTCACGTGCCACTGCAGGTTTGACTGCTCTGAATAGAAATCACTTACCAGATTGGTCTATCTACCACCTTGGAGAAGGACAATTACCAAAAAGAGTCTGTAGACTTTCAGATCTCAAGACCAGAAAGCCTTATATATTTTTTTTCCAATTTATAAAGGTATCAAGTCACATCTCAACTTTCTTTTCAACAAGCTGAGCATGCAAAGCTTTAAAATTCTGCAAGGTTTTATTTTCAGAATAATTCAGAATTCTTTGCATTTGCCACATTCTCCCGGAAAAGCAAACGCCAAGAGCTGTGTCTAGCAATAGGGTTGCCTCAGCACAGCATCGGGGAGATCATTCTCTTGCTTTGACCTGCCGGTTCCCCTGTTTCACACCCTCTGATCCCTGTTAATCTTCAGCTCTCCCCAGGCTCATGCCCCGTTGGGTCCAGCCAGAGCACAAGCTTGTTGAGACTCTGCCCACAGCACAGAACTAAGGTCACACACGCCAGGGTGCTGTGCATGGGCAGCAAATGACTCCATTCTTCCACCTCCCCACTGAGTTTTGGCACCAAGGAGTTCTGCTCACCGAGGTCCAGGGTGTCCGGGTCCGGGCGGTGACAGTAGGGCGTCCCTTTATAGATCTGATCGAGGATCTTCTCCTTCACCTGTGTTATGGTGTCACAGTCCAGCACTTTGGCAGAAACCCCTTGCGAGTCCTCTGCCCCTCCTGCAGCAACTCCTGCTTGCGTCAAAGCATTTAAGGTCTGAGGAGGAAAAGAGAAAGGTCACAGTTACTCATCACGATAAGGTTATACATATACATTTGCACCTTTGATGAGCACCTCAGCATGAAGGCAAGTTAACAGCTAGGCTTTTCACTGGAAGAGTCTCAGAGAAGCCAGCACCACAGATGCGGTCCTCAGTGTTGACTCAAGAGCTGGAAGCCAGTTTAGCAGGGCTGGGGAGAGGCTTCCACGAGCCATCAGCAATTCTGTCTCCTCATATTCCAGTCACTGAGCATGGCACACACACAAGATTACTGTGCTGATAGCTTGTATCAGCCCGAGGCAGAAGTGCCTGATTTATCAGAGCTCTTCTTCATCTGCAGAACAGGTCTTCTTGTGCCCTGTGCTAACTCTGGCTCCCGGGAGGCAGTGGCACGATGCTGCCTTTCTGCTCAACAACAGGAAGAGAAACACTCAGCCCCATCCCAGCAGAGAGGCCAGAGGGAAGCGGTGCTTACCAGGGTCCGGTATTCTAGGTCCTCTCTCAGGAGGCGGTTGTCATTCAGGGTATACTTGGCTTTTCCTGTCACCCAGTCAACAGGCCCCTTGTCCACCTGGTGCTTGATTCCTCGAAACAGCATGTAAAGTGGCTCCCCTACAGAGTCCTGGTACAGAAAGGAAGGAGTTTCACCCAAGAGAACTTCACCTTCCTCCCTGAGCAAAGCCCAACAGCTTGGAAACACAGAACAACTCCAAGCACAGGCAGATCTGAGGGCACCAGGCGATACGGCAGCTGCATCTCTGCAGGCAAAGACAGAGCCCTCACCAATAGCACCTGCATGGGCCAACTAAGAGACTGGAGCCAAAAGACCAAGGGATTGCTCAGTCTCCACGTGACTCCAGCCATGACCAGCCCCACCATCATGTCTCAAGTTGATTATCTTCAAGAAGAAGATAATGGAGCTGCATTGAGCCCTCCACAACCTGACTGGGCAGAATGGAATCAATGCTCTCTGATGTAAGTCCCTCTCCTCTGCAGCAAGCAGTCCCAGCTCTCATTTCCACACCCTGAAACAGAGTGACCCTGGCACTATTTCAATCAAGGAGGAGACACGAGGCAGGGCCGTGGTTCTCTCTCCTCTTCTGGTCCCCCAGCCCCACAAAGACACAGCAGGCTCACCCTGACGAAAGCATACAGGCAGATGGACATCCAGTTGGTTAACAGCTTCTCCACTACTGTTTCTGTCCTGAAACAGAGCATGAGGTTGGTCAAAGGACAACAGCGCTGGGGGAAGGTGCAAGCAGGGAGGGAAAAGGGATAAAGATCACTATCCATGAGAAAGGAATACACTGGCTGGCTGACTCACCTCCGCAGCATCAGCTTGGGGTTTTTGGCCACATACTGCTCAACAAGGTCATTGAGGAGCGTTTTGAGGATGTCAGTGAAGTACTCCAGCTTTCCATGGAGTGACACAGTGAGCAGTGATGCTACATAGGCCCGGTCTCTTGGAGAGAAAGTGCGCTGGATTTCCAGAGTGTGTATGAACTGGCGGGGAGAAAGAGATAAGCCAGGGTGTGAATCCACTGTAAATAAGGCAATATAGCTACTGGCTCATGAAGGAAAAGGTGCTGCAGGGAGATATTCAGGGATGAACTTTGATAAACAACCCCTGCATCCTGCAGTCCCTCAGACAGGTACGTTACCTTGGTGAGGAAGAGCTTGCTGTTGAGCAGATTGGAGAGCTGGACCAAGCCCTGCTCCACAGTTTGCCTTCGGCACTCGGGGATGTCCAGGTCTCTCTGCAGCGGTGATTCACGGTGGCCCGGGAAGAAAATGCGCTCTGCATAGGACTTGTAATCGAGGAAGGGGATTCCTGTGCCCACGAGGTCACTTGTGAGGTCCATCATCTCAGTCATCAGGTCTGAGGGAAAGGAAATGCCAGTGATGCTGACCCCGTGACTGAACAACCGGTGGTAACGAGCATGAGGTTAGTGTAACCAGGGCCGTGTGGTGAGACTGAGGAAAAGGGAGGATGTCGCCTGATAGGAAGACACTGGAGTCCCATTTAAAACTAGACTAGATGCTTGGGAAAAATGAGGAGGATTGAGAAGATGAATTGAGCCATTATTCTCTTTCACAGTTGAGGTCTGACTTCCAGTTTTACAGCTAGGAGGTCACTGTTCAGCAGGGAATTGGTGGTTCTGGTCATCATCTACAGTAAAACAGAGCTCCTGCTCTTCATGGCTTCCCACACCAGTTGGAGATCACAATTCAAGTCACAGTGTGGGCATCTGGGCCAGCAGAGCTATATCAGTGCTCACTGCTGTAATCAGCTGAAGCACAAGGTCTGCGGGCCCAGGTCATGGTGCAATTTCAACAGAGGCTGGACTAGGCGTCTCTAAGGTCTCTCCAAACACGCTATGACCTTTGGCTTTTCATCTCTTGGGGATGAACAAGGGGAGTGTATGTATAGGACTGTACTCTGAACTACACAGATATTCTCACTGGCAGCAGAATTTGCTTGGTGCTTCAGTACGCTGGCTGTACGGGATAGAGTGACTGTCTGCTCTGAGCTATTTAAACAAGGACACAGGAACGGGAAGACAAGTAGGGCCAAAAGTGGTTTCTCAAACTTCTCTATAGGTTCAAGAACACAGGAACAATGTGACTGACCTGTGAACTCCTTTTTGCATCTGTCCCGAACGCTTGTTTCTAGATTTTCCAGCTGAATTTGAACTTTCTTGTAATCCCTTAGAGCCTGTTTACTCTTCCTCCTGAAAGAAGCAGTAGAATAATTTGCAGCACTCCCGGCCCAATGCTTGTCCTTGCCAGCTGCTATACTGCTGCCAAGGACAGCAGGGCAGTGCTGTTGAGATGGTTTCTATCTTTACAAGATAGCAAACTGTTCTATAAACTCTTGGAGCATCCATGAGGCTCATGCTCCGAGTGAACCACAAGGCAGGCTGCAGCCAGCAGGAGCAGCAGGCTCGTGCCTCTCACAATTTGGCACAAAATAGAGAAAACTGGGACCCTGTTAAGTCCCAGATGTGTGAGCTTTTCCACATCCACTGAATAGCGTTGTACAGCAGCGTAAGGATCTCGCAACATCACGGCCTCTCACCTGTAGATGAAGACAATGACCAGAACAATCAGTGCCACAAATGATGCGCCGACCCCCAGGCCGATCTGCGCCTCCAGCGGGAAGGTGAGCTGGCTTTCTGTGTCATACTGCACTCTGCCCAGGAGGAAGTTCAAGTTCCCCATCTGCACCTGCAGGAAAGCACATGCCAAAACATTAGCTCAGTGCATCAGATGAAGCCCATATTTTTGCTGTTCTCCAGAATGAGCGCAGCTGCATTCAGCTGTAAAAGCCACAACACAGCTCCTAGATCCAGCGGTACCAGCTGTTCCAGATCCTGCTTTGCATTTTTAAGGGTAAAATTGGGAACAACATCTGCTCCTTGCCACTCCTAGTATCTCCTCTCCCCCAGCAGCGCTTCTGCCTTTCCTCCGCTTGCCATCCTTGCCTCCATGTTCACCTCTTGCTTATGTTTTCACAAAAATCATGATTTCTAGCACTACTGCTGAGTCCCTACCGTGAATTCCGGGAGCAGGTCGGTGCCCTCTCGCTTGGTGCGGTGCCGTGGAGCTGGCTGCTCAGAGGGGGGTTCACAGTACAGATGATTCCTTGTCAGTGTCTTCACCACACAGATTCCTTCCCCAATCATGGCCATAACTTCATCCTTGGAAATGGCCAGATCTAGATTTTCTCCCTAGAATAGAGATGAAGAAACATATCAGATCTGGAAAAATAAATAAATAAAAATAGCTCTGCACTGTCCATTACTCCAGAGTAGACTGAGATCAACAGCATAGGATGAAAGTTGCCTTTTTTTTTTTTTTTTTTTTTTTTTTTTTTTTTTTTTAAATCTTACCTGACCGAGCTTGCACCTGAATTAGCTACTTGGTTTTATTTTCTAAGTCACACAGGGTGACATCTACCATGCAAAGTCGCTTTTCAGAACAGCTCTGAGAATTATGAACACTCTGGAGTACTCTCCAACCTTGATTCCTTTCAACTCGGCCCAGACAGGCCTCCTCTACCAGCAAACATTCAGCCTTGAATCAAAAAGGAATTTTAGACCATCCAGGTCAATCTCCTCCACATCACAAGCTACGCTGCTGCCTACACTCCAAGGCAATGATCTGTATTTAGATAAACCAAAAATCCACTCCACCTCTAAAAACTACTAGAGAGGATCTTGTTCCAGAGGTGTGTTAATCTTGGAAAAGTTTCCTTTTTCTGTGTCTCACATTAACATCATGTCTATTGTCTTCAACCCCCACTCTCAGCCCCACTGGCCCCTTTTTGCCCCCGTGCTGCACCTCACTTCTAGTTCAAATGTATCCAGCTTCTGCTTGCTTGTTTAGGCTTTCCTCCATGAGATTTGAGAGCTGGTGTCATGTTGGTTCCCTTCCAGTCTTTCTTAATTTCCTCTCCTCCAAGATGCATTAAATGCAAATAGCAGAAGTCTAGACATTTCTAAACTGGTATAACCTGGTAGTTTTCATTAGCACACTAAAAATCAGTGGAAGACGTGTGCCTCTTGGTGCAATCATTATCCTTCTCCATTTCTAGCGGACCAGCAAGTACTTTTCTACACAAACAACTCAAGAGCCCTTTTCTATACATATAAAGAAAAGAGGCACTAACATCTACCTTTTTGCATTGCTGCTGTGGCAGGATTTTCCTACCTTCACCGAGAAACAGGCCTTCCTTACTGCTTTCAGTTGTGACAGCCTGTAGGTCTGTCAAGTACTTTAAAAGTCTGGATGCAGGATCAAACTGATTAAAAACAGTCTCAGGTTAGCAACAGATTTGTAAAACTTGCGGCTAGTTTTTGTGTTACCTCCACAGAGATGACGCTTCCAGGCTTGTGGCGATACGGTTTGGCAGGGTCTTCAGAGTTCAAAGGTTTTAGGATGGGGTTGACTTCGTAAGAGAAGGGCATGGGATGGAGCGAGTTGAAATCAAAGCTCAGATTATCCAGAATAAACTCCAGTTTGACGTGGACACTCTGCAGCAGCAAGTTAATGGCTGGCGTTTTGCACAGGATAAGGTAGGAGGAGTTAATGAGACACGGTTCTTCAAACTAAAAGCCAAAGGAAAGAGAACATTCAGTATTGAAACACCCCAGGGCTGCTGCAGTCCTGCAGTAATCCCCAGCGCTGAGCTCTGGGCTCCGCTCACATTCATCTCACCTGCAGCAAGGCAAAAGCTGCTCTGCTAATTGTACCGGGAAAACCTGAGACCCGAGGAATTCTCTAGAAAAAGTCTTTATAGCTATAAGTTTTGCTGTGAATACTCAGTGGGAATACAGCAGCAGGAGGCATCAGCCTCAACTCACTGCTCAGACAGGACAGGGCTAGGGAGCTTCAAGGCCCAATTCAGGGCCAATCTTATAACCTTTTGTAACTGCAACCACTTTTTGGTAACTAATTTTCAGCTAACAAGTACCCTTTTGCTCTGCAACTTCTGCTGTATTCTCTACAGTCCTGACGCAGCCATTATCTCAGGTATCTGACAGGAGGAGAGCAGAAAAACGTTGGTGGAATGGGTCATTTCACTGAACTCCAACTGCTTTTACATCTCAGAGTGAAATATAGCCCCGGGACAGGTCTGAACTATGCAGAAAGAGCCTGGAGCTCAGAGATACTAAACAACACAGGATCTGCTGCAGATTTCTTCATCTCCATGTTGCTGCTCTGCTGTTTCTGTCTCCCACAAGTCCTGCACAACTTGAGCCAAAAGCAGGCCTGAGATAAATGTTTATGAAACTGCTTAACCTTTAAGCCTGGCAGAGAACACTTCCATTTACCCAGGGCTGTTAGTCAGCAGGAACCCAGGCAATAACTGCAGGGGGTCCAGAGGCCCTAGAGACAGCAAGTTCATCTCTCCAGTGCGGCACACCAAATCTTTTAACCCCATGGGGCATTTGCCAGGCTACCTGCTGGATGCTGCACAGAGCGCCCTCAGGGCACTCCGTGTCCGGGATAATTCGGCGCCACCGTCCCAGCCCCCGGCGCCGCCGTTCGGACGGAGAAACCGTAACGCGAATCTTCGGTTTCTGCACAACATCCAGGTTGTATCCATGAACTCTGAGCACTCTCCCTCCGCTGCAAAAGAAAAGCCATCAATCCTATCCATCTGCTAGCCAAGAGCTCTCCCCCCTGTGCTCCCACACGTCCATTTATACTCATGTCACAACCTTGGCTTTATTCCAGAGTTCAATACAACGGACAGAAGCCATCAATGCTGCAGTACCTGCCTGTCACAGACACACAAGTAGTCAGACTTTGTACCTGAGGAAGCTTTTAGGGGGCTCTGCGAAAGTGATGTTGGGATCCAGGGTATATCTGAAGAGGGATCCTTCCAGTCTCCGCTCCTGATCCCCATATTTGATGGTGACGGGGAGTTCTGCAGACACGTTGCTGGGACTCGTCTGACATGCCAGCTGATCCTCTCTCATTTCAGAAAGGCTTAGGGAGACAGAGGAGACAACAAGGGATTAATAGAGCCACTGCAGAGACAGCATCTTTAATGCTACCCATGCTCTTTGCTGGCAGCCTGTTCTCTGGCATCTCCCTAAATTGGATGCTGGAAGATCTTGCGGCTTATTTACTTTTTTCTAATCTGGAAATCATTTGTAAGCAAGCAACAATTGCTGGAGAGTTGTCAGTGAGCAGCACCTAAACAAAAAGCAGGTACAACCACTGCCCAGATGGTTGAGAGCATGGGCATGCTGCCAAGACACAGTGCCCTCTCACCAGCACCATAAAAGCTGCCAGGCTTCCTTGTCCCAGGACACCAGAGAAGCAGCAGCCCTTAGTGCTAGTCTGCAGGAGCCAACTGTGGATGGATTCCTATCAGCATAAGCAGAGCTGTTGGGATGGAGTAAAGAGTCATGGCATGAAGAATAGAGACCATGAAGCATTGCCCTTATGTGAGGGAAAGCAGGGAGGAAGGAGAACTGAGGCTGTGGCTACAACCCTTGAGGAGAGGATCTCTAGGAACAGACCCCACAGCCCACAGGAAGGGCTGAGCAGGCAGCACTGTGTCCTGTGATTCCCTGGGAAGGGCTGAGGGATGGATGGTGCTCAGCCAGCACGGCAGGCTGTGGTCACAGGCCCTCATCTTACATGTTGCAGGGCAGGTCTCCAAGCAGGATGCTGATCTCGCTGGGATGCCCCGTGAGCAGCTTGGAGCCCAGAAGAGTAAGGCAGGTTCCTCCCGCTTTAGGGCCCTGAGTCGGAACTATGGATTTCAGCTCCGGGTTCTGCAAGAGAAAAAAAGAGTGACAAGGACCTCATAAGAGAGGGCAAAGAAGGAACACAGCAGAACATGTCCATGCCCAACGACCTCCAGTGCTCTGAAAACAGAAGCTAGCATTCCCAATGACACGCAGGCCACAGACAGGCTCCAGCAGCCACTTTATCATGGAGCAGAGGCAACAGAGGAGGGCTCAACAAACTTAGGAAACATGAGTCGGGGACCACAGTCTTTCCACATAAGGTAAAAGGCAGATGGATGCTGCACACTGCAGAGCTGGGAGCCTCACACCCAAAGCCTGGAATTAACAGTTCAAAGGAGTTGTCCAGGTCAGTAACTCAAGTTATGAACAAAAGGTAGCAAATAAATTGTCTGTTTATCCAATAAAGGAGGGAGTTACCAGCAGGGAGCCTTAAGAATTTGAGTCAAGACTTGTGCTGTTAAACATACTTGGAGGTAACATGGAAAGGAAAAAGTGAAATTTGATAAATTATTCAGAGTAACAAAAACTTAATCCCACTAAGTGACTGCAGAAAAAAATTAGAGGGATCAGTTGACAAGTGTGGCATAGGTAATTCACTGCTGACAAGTGCAAAGTAAGATGTGTGAAGGGAGAAGGAGCAAGAAGATTGCGACAAAGTGACATTAAGTATACATGCACACAGCTGGGAGGTTTGAAGCTGAACTACTGTCCATTCAGGAGTACTTGGGTGCCTACAACAGCTAAAATTTCTGCTCCACATAGTAAACAAAACAAAACAAAAAAAAAACTAAAAAATAAAAACTCAAGCACTAGGACTTATTGTGAAAGAAATTTTGGAAAAACAAATATTTTCATGCGACAGCACAAATCTATGTTGCACTTGCATCTTGGCTATTGCATGCAGTTCTGATCATGTTGCCTCAGAATGGGGATAATAAAACCAGAACAGAGAAGAGCAACAAACATGATTTTATCTTAACCACAAACTAAGAATTATCATGGAATTATCAGACAGAAGTTTAAAAATAATAAGAAACTTTTTTCCTATACAATGCAGAGTAACTCTGGGCTTACTGCCATTTTGCTGCTGCAGGTCAGAAGTAAAAACACATGTTCAAGTAGCAATTCAAAAATTAACATAATGTCCTAAGTCCTAATAAAATGTTAAGTTATCAATAAAAATCTTAAATTTAGAAAGTCCAATCTGCAGATTGCCGTAAAGTTGTACTCCCTATAGTTAGTCTATTTCCTTAAGCACTTAATAGTTCTCACTGACAAACAAAACTGTAGGCTACTGGGCTTGGTATGATCCAGTACAGCTGTTCTTAGAGTCTTAGGAAACTATAACTCCAAACACCAAATTCAAATAAAAATCCCAGCTACATCATCTGGCAGAGCCCCTTAAGTTCATACAATAAATGGTTCTGCAGCAAAACCATTGGAAGAACAGAGAGATATTTAAGCAGCAATGGTATTACCTGGTAGGTGAAAATATGCCCAGAAACTCCACGTCCTCCTCCAGGCACTTCCACCACAACGTGCCCAAATCGCTCCGTCCAGCTCCCGCCAGTGACACACACGATACTGCAGGGCAATCGAGCAGAGTGTCACACCATGAAGATGAGCTGAATCTGCTGTACCAGGCTCTAAAATACATCTAGCAGCCCCAGCTCCCCTCTTGCAGCCCTACCACAGGCTCAGAATATAGGACTGAACATTGGGAAGGAGCTTTAACGGCTGATTTAGACGCAACAAAGAGAAAGAAACAACAAAACGCCCCCAAAAAACAGGGGGCAATTCTACAACAGGCCCATCCTATCCAAAATTGTCTCTCAAACACACAGGATGAAGTCCTTTGTAACACGAGAGGCCAAGGACGGTGCCATTATCACACCTGGAGCATCCCCAGGCTCTCAAGAGGTCACCCCACAGGTTAGTGCTGCCTGATGCAGCAGAAACCCTTCAGGCTTTAGGTCTCGGTGGCACCAGTCTTCAGCCAGCAGCCTCTGGGAGCAGCCCACTGCCCCGATCTGCTCTTTCCATTCTTTCCAGCCATAATCTGATATGACAACTGACAGGGGGTAAAGTCAGGCTGCATTTACAACAGTGAATCCCATGTTACAGCACTCATTCAGCCAACAGAAAGCCTTTACTACAACAGAAGGGTTTCCTCAGCTTTCCTACACAGCAGAAGACTAATTTTGCTTGGCCTTGCTCAGGAGAAGGTTCCAGGTTCACAGTTACATCCTCCAACCCAATTTTCACTTCAGCAGTGCAGGGAGCCCATCCCAATGCAGGACCTGGTGACGTGCCGCTACAGAGCAACGGCAGAGCCACCCCAGAAATATATTGTTCTAAATCTAGGATGAAAACAGAAAGCAGATGGAACCAGGCAGACAAGGAGCGCAGACAGGACAACACTGCTCACAGTGGGCCACTTCCCAGCAGGATCTTACCTGGCTCCCAGAGGGAAGGGTAATGCTAATACAGCTAATGCTAACATGGAATGGAAAATGGGTTCAGGGTAACTCTGATGAGAGGGTACTCACAATTGCTCTGCTCTTCTGTCCACATCTCCTGCTGGTTGCTTGGCTCCTCTCTCTGCCTTATCCAAGCCTGCCATCTACCTGCCCCAGTCATATCTCTCAATGCCAGATTACTGCAGCTTCTCGCTCTGCAAGACCCTTCCTAGCCAGACATACTAGATACCCACCGCCCTTTATTACAGACATCAGCTGTTATCCTGCAGGACCTTTTCCCCCGTCTGCTAGCCCCTATTTCTACAGACACTGTGTGACTTGCTGGCCAACAAAGAGTGACCTAGGGCCCAGCAGGACTCCCTTGTCAGTCCCCGGTCAGGAGGCTCCTTCCCCTGGATGCATTCCTGGAAGGCTGGTCAGCTAGTGAAGACTGACAGTCTGGGGCACATCCACTGTACTGCTAGAAACCGCAGTACCTCCAGCCACACGTGCCCACCTTCAGCCTGTGTTAACAAGCTCAGGAGATTTTCCTAGCACCACCACTCACAGAAACTGCCTCTTTGCTTTCCTGAAGTTCCTCACCAACAGGGCCATATATCCATGAAACTGCACAGCGCTTGGCCTGCGGCTCCGTGGCTGGGCTGGGGCTCCCAGCCGCCTTGCAGACCCTGCACCGGCAGTGTGCTCATCACACCAGGTCACGCTTGGCCATTTCCTTTCACACTGCCTCACCTCCAAGGTCATCCCCTAAGTGATCAGACAGTGCCCTTGCTCAGCGGCACTCCCCAGGGAACGAGTAAGGCTCGATATGTGCTACAGCGAAGGTAATGACATTCCAGCCCAGTATCAGCAGCCAAGGGGAAAGCCAGGGCCTGCCTCTGGGAGGACGTGCACAGATACTCTACCTGCTAGAGATCTCATACTCTTGAGCATCTACGGCACAGGGAATTCCTGCCACAGTGACAGTTTCTGCAATGTCTTGATGTTTCTGCCCGAGGTTTGAGCCAGTGATGGTGATTCTAGTGCCACCTTCCACTGGTCCAGACAGGGGGGATACCTGCAAAGACATCCGAGCATGTGTAAGTGTCACAGTATCTCAAATCCTTGCAGTCTGGCAACTGGTCTGCAGCACAAGGTCCTTCAAAACTGTCCTGTTGCCAACTCTGCCTTGTCAGGGCATTGCAATGGATTCCTTTTACTGGCCAGGACTGGCATCAGTTTGCACCATCACCACAGGAAAAGCCAGAGAGGAGAACATCACAATCAGAGCCACTTTCCCATACCTCACTATTGCAAACTGACCCCCTAGAAACTACAAATTTCTAAGTATGGGCTGCTCTGCTTTGGCTTCTCAAAAACCTGCTCATCACTCCATAGGGTATTTCTGCTAAAGGAGTAGCAATGCCAAGCTAATACATGATACTAATAGTGAAGCAGCAGGCACCATCCTCCTCCTCAGCATCAGTACAACATGAATTGCATGTTGCACAAACCTCAAAGCTCCGGCCATGAATAGCATCCAAGACAAGCTAAGACAAGATGCAGCACATGGAAGTTGTGTGTCACCAGAGGAAGGACAAGCTGACAGCAAAAGGGACACACAGCTACAGACATTTGTCATGTGGCAGTTAGCAAGAAACATTCAAAATAAACAGACAAAAGTCATTAATCCCAGGAACCCGCTGTGTCTTTCCCATCCCTGCTGGGCCATTACCATTAGGTTTTGTCTTCCTTTTCCCCAGGCTGAACTGGGCCAATCTGCTTCAGAACTGTCAGAGAATCCCAACTGTGAAGCCCTTCCCAGCTGCCAGATGATTCTGTTTCTTCCAGCGTGCCAGTTTCAGCTTACAGGAGGTACAAATGCATCTTTTCCCATTGATTTCTATCTGTCCCTTGAAAGCTCAGCAGAAAAGTCTAGTATCTTGCTCCCCTACACCGAGGGACCACAGCAGAACAAGACTAACATGTTCTTTAGGTGGCCAATGAATAGTTGAGCTGCACTGTTTGCAGTATGAGTTCAGACCTCTGGTCTCAGACCAGAGCCCTCTTTGTCCCAGGTGCTGTACACTAACGAGCACATTACTCACAGAGTGAATGAGAGGTGCTGGACACAGGTCCTCTATCTCTTCCTTGCAGGAATCCCTGAAGATACAGCTGGGGTTTTCGCCTCCACACCACACACAGTTGTACTTGGAGTCAGCCGTCTGGCAGCGGCTACAATCCGTGTGGCCCACAGAGCAGTTGTAGAAAGTCACTGCAGGGGAGAAATATTCAGAGGTATCTGCAAGCACCTCCCAGAGCACAGAGTCACCCTCCCCTGCCCTCTCTTAGGCTGTAGAGCTTTCTCCATTTCCCCATGATAGGACCACTATGGGTGCAAAAGGGTGAAGGATTTTTCAGCTTCCCTCCATCCCACTTGCTGTGTTCTTGCTGGGTGGGGGGTGTTCACTCCTACCGTGAAGATCTGCAGCACTGTCCACTCGAAGGTGTCGCCGCCTCTGCACAAACACCACAGCATTGAATTCCAGCTGAGGTGCCGTGTAGCTGTACTGCAGAGAGAGACCAAAGTCAAGGACTTAGAGGAGGCACAAAGGAGCCAGCTGAACAAGCAAACTCAGGGTCTATCCCACGCAGCACCTTGGGACATATATAGCCTATATGGAGCTTCCTGTGAATGCAGGCAGACCTCTTCGGGCAGCGAAACTCGTCAAGGCAGCATTAACTGAGGCAACAGCAACATAAACCTGCCCTCACTAGTTCCCACAGCCACAATACCTGTACTAGAAAGAGCAGCAGACATTGGTTCACCAGGGAAGCATGGAGAACACACTCGCCTACTCATGCAATTACTTGTCTAACTTGCTAATTGTATTCTTAAATACCTAGCTTTCTACCTACAAGCCACCTGCTCACAGAATTGCTCAAGAGAGCAATTCAGCACAATTCATTTCAATATTATAATTGCTCTGCAGGGCTCGTCCACAAAAGCTTATGTTGTTCCTCTCCCTCAACTAGATTAGTTTGCAAACTAAAATTATCACCTCCGCTTACACATATTGCCTCAGGTGAAACTCACACATCCGGAAAAATGCATTGCTATTTTATTGCATCTGATATTCTTATAATTCACAGGCTAGCTTCCATCACCAAAACCTATATTTGTATTTTTTTTTGTTGTTTTTGCACAAAAGGATCAGCATTGCAAAGAAAAGTCACAGTCTATAAAGCCACGAACAGTGACTCAAGCTAAAGCAGAAACAGCACCATCCGTGCAGGCAGCACTAAGTGATGTTTCAAAACCAGCACGGTTCTATGCAGCAGGAGACCCAGTGGCTCAGACAGCACAATCTCTCCACAGGCTGAAGATGCCACTACCACCAGCACCACAGATGAGGGTCTCATAATGCTAAATATGGTATAAATATTTTAGCAAAACATGCTCTGCACCCCGGAAGCGCTCGCTTCTCAGCCTGCCAGATAAAGAAGCCGAGCCAAGACACATCAGTGTGAACTCTGAAACGGCATCACCCCCCAAGCACTCACCTGGTGCAGCTGACAGGTGATATAACAGAGGGACTGGTTGGTTTCTTCCCCTTCCACATAAGCATCCATCACCACCGTCCTCCCCTCCAAGTCCAGGACACACTCATAGTCCCACTGCTGGTCCTGCAGATGGGAAGACACATAGAGCACCACTTCTCAACCACGTGGAGTGGTGACAGTGGACTCCTGCCTCCCTGTACCTCGCTGCTTACTATGCAGGCAATGTGCTCCTCATTCCCTTCACTAAGCCATTTTTAAGCTATACTGAAGGGCTCTCTACACTCTCACTGCTTCTGATGAAAGGAATCAGGACAAACACAAAACAACATCCCTAGGAGGGAGCATGTGAATGTCAGTGTGGGCAGAACTCAGCCCAGGAAGAAAATTTAAAGGAAAGAACAGTTGGACTGAGAGGTTATGCCTGTACAGGTCTGTGAGACTAGCTTGGAAATAAAGAGCTGTGTGTGCAGATTAACACAGTGCACCTCAAAAATAGTAAGGGTATTTTTCTTTTCTCTCCTACAGACTTTCTACTTAATTGTGTTAGACAATCCCTGTAAAAAGACAGATATGGATCTGTAACCAGCTCTGCTCCTCTGTGCAATGTAATATATCAGGTTTAACGTATAAAGTAGCAATTAGTCTGTGGGCTGCATGCTCCAAGGTGATCATTTGTAAGAAGTTAGTAAATCAGTCTTCTGTCTTGAGAAGCAAGCAGAATTTTTATCAGAGGCACACCCAAGGAATGTAGCTTTCAAGGGCTGCTTTTCCCGATTGCAGAAGTTTCAGGTATGACAGGAACAGCCACATCAATATTAGTAGGCCAGAGAGGAAAAGGAGCAGCTTATCTTTAGCTTATAGACACACGAAAAAGAATGAGCAGAGATTCAGCAGAAGTTACTCAAAATCTGTCACCTGCAGTGTGACACGTGCCATTTAATGCTAACACATGCAGATTCTTTCTGATAGGTTTGTCCATGCCTGTAAATCTCCTCCCTGGCTGCCCTCCTACTCACCATTAGGTCTAATTATGCGATTTCTTATCTACAGATCTGCTATTTCTCCAGTAGCAAAAACCTAGGCAGAGCCCAATCCTCTCTTTCAAGTATTTTAGCAGCCCAGTGAACAGGTTGCCCCAAACCTGCTCAGCTCTACAAAAGTTTCCGTTTCTCCATGCTAATGGAGAGAGCAGCTGCCAACCTGATAGAGGTGGAAGTTCTTTCCCAGAAGAGTTATCTTCCTCGCCACATTGACTGGAAACAGTGAAGATCCCTGGATCCTCTGCACACAGGGACACGCATCAGGACCCCAGCTAAGCTCTTCATTCTGAAAACCAACACACACCTTTAGAGAAAGGGACTTCCATGGCTCTGACAGCAGCAATCAGAACCTAACAGGCCATCAGAGAAACAGGAAGCTATTTTCTTTACCATGGGGTTACAGAAAGCAAAGCAGGAGCCTGACGTGGTGACCAACAGAAAGCTGTGAACATGCCAGACATCACAGCAGCTGTGACCTCCAGGCCAGCAGCATTTCTACAAAGCTTTGGAACCTCTTCTCACACGTTCTCCTTTCTCAGGGTGTCACTTCTCACCCTGCCCATTATAGCTGTCAGCCTCTCTTCTCCAGAGGACCACAGCCTCTCCTGTGTGCTGAAATGTATGAGATCAGCAATCTCTACTGAAATTTTAAAGCGTTACAGCCTTAGACTGTGGACTGCAAAGCCCGGTGACTTACCTCCTCCCAAAACCCAGGGGCATCATACTGATAGTCAAGGTCAGGATGGAGGATCCTGGGAAAGTCAGGGGCGTCCCTTTCTGAGGAATCCCCATCGCCCGACAGAAGTGTAGAAGCAGAGAAGGGAGATGTGTCATTCTCTGCCTGCAGCAAATCCATCCAGTCCTCCGTGTCCTGGAGCTCCGTGCCTTCCCTTAGCAGCCAGTCTGAGGGAGTTGATGGCGGGAGGTCTGAGGCAAGTAGTTTAGTTTCCATCTCTCTGGAAGAGTCATCAGAGGCAACAGGCACCTCCGGCTGATGGCTGTGGGCTTGGGGAGATGACGTGGCAGATGTCAATGCCTCAGTAGTAGGAACAGAACTGGGAGGCCAAGTGAAACTGCTGACGTGAGAAGATGATGTTACTCCTGCCACAGACGGACTGGCCACCATGGTGGTGGGTGGGTTGGTGGGCCAGGGCTCCCGGGCAGTGGCTCTGGTGTCCAAGATCGGCAGGTCTGTGTCACCCACGGGCTGTGATGGGCTGGGGAGGACAGATGCAGCAAGGGAAGTCGTGTCCGGCTCCGTGACAGCAGGGTTGTCCGCTGGTGGCGGCAGGGGGGACTCTGTGGAGGCCTGGAGAGAGGCAGCTTCAGATGAGGGAGTCGAGTACGTGTAGCTGGGGGAACCTGCGGGCTCCGTCGTCGTGTCCGAGACTGCCGAGGGTGTGACAGGGACAGGTTCTGTGGGGGGCACAGTGCTCAGCGCCACGCGCACGGCGGGGGTGACGGCTTTGGTGGCTGCCGTTGGTGCTACCGTAGAGGACTTGCTGGGGGGAGCTGCCGAAGACAGAAACAGACTTGGGGTTGGAAGCTGTGCCTAGAGAGAAAAGAACATGGTGGAGTGAGAAGAACAAGACAGAACAAAAGACAAATAGAAAACAGATTATTCCTTCCTGTAGCAATGTTTCCTAGAGGCTGCTTCATCCACTGAATTTCAGGGAGGAAAACTAGACCTCACAGCCTTGGGATGGGACAGATTCAGCAGCAATCTCTCTATCCTACACATGTTTGTGCTCACCCTCAGAGGGAACCTGAGGCCTTCACTCCCACAACATGGCAAAGTGACCTGCAGCTGCCACAAAAACAGTTGTTCCGCCACCTTGCTGACAGCTCCCTGCAGGTTTCCCCTTGTCCCTCACCCTGATGAGAACCCAGGCTGGATGTCCCAGGGAAAGGGGTGACCTGCTTCATTTGATGGCACCTCCCCCGAAACCCAGCGAGCTCCAGCAGCTCAGCTCTGTGCATGAAACAGCTGAGAGGTGCTATTGGACCTGAGAAGAGATCTGACTCTCCTGAACATGAGGAGACTGTTAGTAACGACTAGGAGACTCACCCTTTCATTGAAAATAATTGTTCCTTCCTCACAGGCTGCTTTGTGTGTGCAGAGGTGCTGCTGGATGCACCAGTTACATCTCCAGGGACTGCTCACACACTTCTGGCACCTGGGACAGCGAGAGAAGAACAGCTGCTGAGAAGACCCAGGAGGGGACAGTCACCCTCCCCATAACTATAAAAAAATCTCAGGTGCTCACGGTGCTGATTTCCATAGCAGGGCAACAGCAGCACAGTCATAGAAAGAGAAGTCCACAGAGGCAATGAAGATGTCATGGAAACGCACTACAAGCTTTATGGTGACATGATCTGAAAGCAAAAATAAAAATTTCTTAGAAATGGAGCCATCCTAACTCTGCAATACTGTTAGGAGAGGCAGCACGTTTTGGGGAAGACACTAGCAAACATGAAGATAGATTCCCTTGCGTTGCTTGCAGCATCTTCATTCCAGGATTATCCCATAGACACTAAAAGCAGGTTGGACAAGTCTACCAGGAACAGTTTATGACAACTCTTGCCAGCTTGTGGAAAGGAAGATGGCTCTGAAGATTCCCCCCCCCCCCATCTTTATTTGCTGTAATTCCACTGTCATCTCTATATTACAGAAAGAACTAACATCACAGGCTCAAAGCTGACTGCTTTCCCTTGTCAGACAGATTAAAGCCAAACCCTTAGAAGGGACAAGCACTTCACATGCTGCCATCATCTTGAGTGTCTTGTGATATGTCCAGACTAAGTGAATAAGTAAAGGAGCTTATAAAACTTTTAATCTCAGCTTCAATGACTGAAGGCTTTTATCTGCTTCAGATTGATGTCTCTCATTAGCTCAGCCTCAGAATAGCCTCTTTCTCTTTGCGGGGGAAGACTATCACTGTTTTCCAACAGACTGGAGAACTGCTGAGATAGTCATAGACAGAGTAGTTACCCTGAGCCTGAAGGAATTTTGCACATGACAATAGTACAAATAATAATAATAATAATAATAAAATAGAAACGAAACCATTTAAACTTGATGCATAGAAATGCCCCCAGCCCTAGAATCAGATGTTAGCTTGCTCAATAATGAGAATATATTGCATGCTCTGCTGGGTTCCAGGAAATAATAATAATAATAATAAAATAGAAACGAAACCATTTAAACTTGATGCATAGAAATGCCCCCAGCCCTAGAATCAGATGTTAGCTTGCTCAATAATGAGAATATATTGCATGCTCTGCTGGGTTCCAGGAACTGCCATTTTTCCAAGACAGTTTTGCTATGAAAGTCAAAAGTTTATCCATCTTTCCTCTCAGAGTTCAGTGCCTTCTCTTGCAGGTAGGATCCACTTATTTGCAAGTCACAGAATTGCAGAATATGTCTGAACCACAGCAGTGCAGTTCTCTTGTGCTGTAGAAAATCAGCGTGGTCTAAGTTGGACTCCTGGTAGAATAGCAAGTGAAGCAGTATGCTAGTAAAACAGCTGATAATGTGCTGCTTATGAAAACCGTAACATGCTGCTTATGAAAAAACACTAGGAGAAAGGGAGGGCGTCATCTGTGGCTGGAGACAAAAGACACTACAGTATTGCCAGCTTCCATTACTGTTTCAGAGGTGATGGTATTTAGCAGTCAGGGAGAGGCCAATACCTCCCAGGATTAGGGCTTTGGCACCACGTTTATAAATATTCTTTTCCCCAAGAAGACTGTTATTTCCCATGACTGCCAATAATGCTGCTCAACAGTGCAGAAGACAAGGATGAATGCTTGCAAACTAAAAACAAGGCTTTCTGCTACTGACTTGGAGCTCATTAGCTTAAAGTGACAGATGATCCAGTAAAAACAAGCCTTATAGCAAAGCTGAGTGGGGGCAGAAATATATTTATTTTTATATATTTATATATATAGTTTTCAATGATCTGGGAAAGTGTTTTCAAATAAGAATGGGAAAGTTCCAGTGCCTTTGTCTGAGGCCCTGATGAGACCTCTTTTAGAAAGCAGTGTATGATTCTAGTTACCAGCTTCAATTCATCTTAGTAGAGCACTGAAGTAGAGCCAAGAAGAGTTACAAATGCAGTGAAGGAAAGAGGAAACCTACATAACAAAAGAACATGAAGAAAAAGCTGGCACAGTTAAAATAACAGAACTCTAATGCTAAGAATGCCTGGCCTTAAGTCCTTAGATGGCAAAAGAGCTGTTGAAGCAAAGCAATAATATAGATGAGATTAAATGGACACAAACCATCCATGGATAACTTGAGGCAGAAAGCAGAAACGGCTTGTGAAGCCTCAGAAGTGACATGAAAACAGCATAGGTTAAGCATCTAAGAAGATTCAGTAGAGCAAGGCTGGCTTGCAAAGGCATCAATAAGAGTATTTGAAAGCTGAAGTAGCAGGAACCAGCTTGTGGCACGATCTACCCTAATTTTCCCAGCTGTGCTCAAAATCAGACTCACTTTTGCACAACCAAAAGGTTGAAGCCAAGCGTATCCACTCTGCTACAGTGGCAGCACAGGAAGCATTTTCCCTGTGTGCCTCTCCACCCTGAATGCTTGCTCCTTCCTAGGCTACGGCAGAGCGACAAGCCAACAGGCAAGTATCATCGAAAATCAAGGAATGTGAGACTGAATGACTGAGCTAATTAACTTTGGCTGTCATGTTACATCCATAGAAGCCCTTTTAGACCTATCAGCCAGCTGCACAGCAGCACAGAAGATCTGTTTAGCCACTAGATGAATCTTGTGGAATGTTTCCCAACCTGTACCTGCCTTTTGCTTCAGATGAACAAGTGCTCTGAAGAGATCAGTTTATCACTGCCCGCACTGACAGGTTAAATACTGCAAAATCCACTGTAAAGGCAATAAGGCAAGTGAGAACTTTCCAGGTGTTTAGAGAGGCCACTTATGGATACCCAGAAGGCTGACAGTGCATTTTCGGAGGTTATGCTGCATTGCAGATTCATTTCTAATCTCTCCTAGGACAGTGGATCTCTTCTAGCCTTTCCTTACAAGTACTTTCTTGTTCCACTAACACGTGGGGTTTGAAAACATTTGTGTTTTGTTTGGTTTTAAACACTACTCCATTTTTAAAAGAAAAAAAAAGAAATAAAAGAGAACATGCATGCGTGAGCACGTGCACCAGAGAGTCCTATATCCAGATTTTTGACAAGGCTGCCAAACCAGCCACCACTCTAAACTGCATTTCAGATCATATTCAGATTTGCGTATAACCCTTCAAGCAGAACTTCCTTTCCAACTGCCAGAATTTGGCACTGGAATCTGGCAGCAGCCCAGAATAGCACAGGATGTGTGTGACACGAGTAGAAAGCAAACACATGACAGAATGAAGTGAGCACCTGCTGATAGACCACGTACATTCATGACTATTAAGCCTGGCAATCTGGTAGATCTGAAATGTTCTTTCTCTTGACAATGTTATCAGAGCTATCACACTCCATTTAAAGCACTTCACTGACCTGCTCCAGTTGGCAAAGTTGGTGCTTGGCTGGGATCTGGCGAGGGGCACATGATTCCCGACTCCGTCAGGACTGCTGGGCTTTCATAATCTTCAAAATAGCACGAGTAAAATTCTTCCTCATGCAGAGACGGCAAATCCGAGATAGCCAGGAAGATCTAACAATTCAATAATGTCCAATAAGTTATTTGCCCCCTAACATCCTTATTTCATATAGTTTATGGCTCTACTTTCTTAGACTGGGCTACTCCATTCATCTTGTCTTGCCATTCCCAAACCAAACTTGCTCATTTATCAGCAAAATCTCCCCTTTTGCTCAAGCATCCAAATGGAGACAGGTTCTGATTATCTCCTGACACTTTAACAGGAATATTGCAGCATTGTATTAGCTTTTCTAACAGCTGTCCATTACCAGACTGGAGCTGTAACTTTAGGTAGCTTCTTTCAGATGTTTCTGAGTGTCAGAAATACTCTGACTCCTCAGAGAAGGGCACTCAATACACACTCAGCCAAGGAGAGATCCCATCCAAGAAGCCAAATAGTGCAAAACCCCTAATAACTTCCTATTAGCAGACAGAGATTTGTAGGTTTAAATGAACAATGATGAAGTTATCTCCTGAGAGCTGGACCATGTTAAGGTCCTTATGTGAGACAGACAAATCTGCTTGAAAGTTTAGTGATTCAGTACACCACTGAAAGCAACAGGAGGACTTGTGACCCCTCAGAGCTTGCAGGAGACCTTCTATATGCTTGAGCACGACCGTGAAGGAACAACATTGCTCACATTTCTCTTTTCCTCTCTGCTGATATTGGCTGGAGTTAGTGATTGGATGGACAGGCACTGCTGTGTAGAGTTAAAGCTCCAGAGCCACTGCTCACTGAGTCTGGATCGCAGGCATTCAGAGCGACGGCTGCACCTGCAGAGAAACAGCAAGAAGCTTTATGGAAGGTCTCCTAAACAGCAGACCCATTCTCTGGTTCTTAGGTAGATACTGGCTTTCAGAAACCTTGCTGGAGGGTCAGGGAGCCCAACACACAAGCCACAGAAGTTCCAGTCTCCCACCACCATCCATAACAGGATGAATTGATGCCAGTATATACAGATGAGTAGGCACTCACTGGGCTTCCAGGGCCATAAACTATTCCTGTGGCATCCCACCGGGAGACAGAGTCAGCAAGCAGATACACTCAAATAAACCACGTCTTATTAAGCAGTGAGTGCGAGTAAGAAAGTGACATCAGTTAAAGAGCCCAGATAGTTTCTCTGTATTTGAAATGAGACAGCTCTCAAGCTGCAGCCAGACAAAACAGGCAGAAATCCATTGCAGGGGAGCACGGCGAGCGGTGACTAAAGCAAAAGAAAGACACTCTGTGTGCTGGAAAGAGAAGTGCAACTGTGGCTGGTGATAGCAATGCTTAGAGAGGTAGACAGAAGACAGTGTGAATCTGTAGGCCAAACATCATATAAAGAAACTTAAACACAGATTAAATCCAGGTACAGAGACACAGATTGAAATACAGATACAGGAACGAGAGTAAGTAGACATATTCCCTAAGCACCATCCCTTCAAAACCCTTGACCAGGGATGTCTCTTACCGGCCCTGAAGGACACACCAGCCACAGTAAGGATCTTGCAGTTTCAGGCAGGATTCACAGTCCGAGTACAGGGAACACTCCAAGATGGGAACCTTCACCACCTGTCAGAAAAGACATTAGTGAGAACAGCACACGAAAAACATGTTCCACTTTCATGATTTCTGCCCAACTAACAAGTTCTATTGCCCTGACTTTGTGTTAATTCTCAATACTGCTTAAAACTAAAGGAACAAAAAGGAACAAGCAGTAAAACATCAGTTTCCACAGAGGCACTGAAACAAACCTAAAACAAAGGTACCGCTACAACTACCCTCAGCATTTGCAGTTCTTATTTCTTTCTCTAAATCTCCCTACTTGCAATCTGAACCCATAACTCCATATGGTACTCACTAGCATGATGCAGAAACATTGCTTCCTTCCTTTCCTCCGTGATCACTTGCCTCTCTCTTTTTCCTCCCTTTTCCCTTAGACTTAATGACACTATTCTTTCAGTTTCCCCTGCTTTTCATTCCTCCACCATCCACTCTTTTGCTTGTCTGGTCTCCAATATGTCTGATCATCTCTCTTGAAACGCAGGTGTCCAATGCTGGACACAGTAGCTCCTGCTGAAGTCTCTGAGGGTATCTGCTCTGTTGTCCAACTCTGTCTGGCAGGACTACCATTTCACTGAAATTAGAGCAACTGGCTTTGATCACTGTGGAAAAATAAACTCCTGCCATCCATCCGGGGTACGTCTGACCTGCAGAACACTCCTGCTTTGCTTTATTATCCCTCCCCACCTTGCTGATTTCAGCCTTCTGCCCTCTCTTTAATCACCTACTACGCTGCCAGTTACTTTAAAACGTCGTCTTCTAATCCCTAACCCAATACTTTTGCTAAATACATCTTGTTATTTGCATTCTTTACTGACAGAACAATTACTCTTAAGGATATATTTCAGATTTCCCTAATCTTCTTCTACTCAGAAATTTTAACTCCTCCTTTGAAGTGTTACAGAATTTCTGAATCCCACAAAATGCATAGAGGGGGATGAAAAGAAGCAGCCCTTTTCTGGTATGCTCTCATCTGAAGTTTGCCCTTTCCTTCAGACATGGAGTAACTCAGGGCCTGCTTTTCTTTCTACCTCAAGAAGCTGATTTGAGTGTTATATAAATCCTCTTAAATAAAGTTTCTGTAGTTGGATTTTCCACTCTGAAGATGTCAGGATCTCAAAAGTTTCAGCAATCCCCATGCCTCTTTCTCCTGCTGCCACCAGACAGAGAACTACAGAAGACAGGAGAAGACAGAACAGTGCCTAACACGGTTCCTTACACATCTTGATTTCATCTTCAAGACTGGTTATTTACCTGGTGTTATCTCTTAACAGAAAATATTTCCCACAATTTCTTCTTTACATAGGTTATGTGCATACATAAGAAAAAATCTTCTATCTGATTAAAGACAGTATTTGTGCTCTGCCTCTTCTACCCTCCTCAGCAGCTAAACAGGGCCACAAACGCTTTGATGTAAAAGATTTTCTTGCTCTTACCATTGACTGGGTCATGACGAAGAGGTGCTGCTGCAACTGGTCGAATAGCAGGTCTGCACTCACCATGCTGTTCACCTGGATGGCTAAAGAAGCGTATATCCTAGTATCTCCCATGGCTCCCAAGTATGCCTGCAAGAGAAGGAGACACACTGCTGTGCGGGCAGAGTACAGGAGCAGGAGGCATCTGTCCTGCATCGGGAGCAACCTGGAGCTGCTGCTGCGTGCAAGGGTTTCTACCTCCCACCAAAATCCCCTGCAACAGTTGCAGTGACGTGAAGCAGGCGCTTGGCAATGTGTGCACAAACACTGGAGGACGCAGCAGTCCTGACCCAGGTTCAGTGGCAAGCAGCAGGACAGCTGCTTGGAGCGTTCATGTTCTCAAAGGACAGCACAGACAGCAGGAGAAGGGGCTATATGATAGCACTGATGCTGAGCAGGAACCCAACTGCTTAAGGGATTGAGGGACAAGAGAAATTGCTTTTTTTTCTTCTCCCTTCACCTGAGCATCCCTGGTTTGCTTCACCCTCTGTTCCTCATTGCATCCCGCTCATACCTTGTGCAGTCTCCCTTTGCTGTCTCCCAGAAAAGCAATGGTGTGGCCATCTTCCACATTCACCGCCACAGCTGTCAGGCGGGCTCCTGTCTTCTCCAGGAGCGGAGCTGCTTCCAAAGGTATCCGGCTGGCCATGGGGCTGGGAGTGTGGTCAGAGCCGCAGGGGTAGGCGTACAGGGTGTCCTTGTTGAGGGGAAAAAGCACGGAGAACAGCATAAGAGAAGATACAAATCACATTAGCATCTTCAACCTTTGTCACCAGCTTCTTCCAGCCAAATTCCTCAGAGGTGCCTAACAGTAAATTCAGCTTTGAACCCCGCTGGGGTTTTTGACTGAGAATAGAAAACCAGCTTTTAATAATTAGCTTAGCTGTTTGCTGCTTGTTGCTTTTGAAGGGACCCTGCAGACATTTCAGCCAAGTCCTTTTAGCATAACAGATGCATCACTAATGAAATGCATCTAAACTCGGTTAAACTATCAGTCTCCCAAGTGATGGGCTTAGGGAAAATTCCCTCTGTTTTTCAGAATGAAGAAAAACAAACCAACCAACCAAAAAGGGGATGAGAATTCCTGATTCCACAGCAAAATGAAAGCAGCTACCTGGCCACAAGCACCACCACGAATTAGCCCTGTTTATGTCGTGCTGTATCACATTACCTACCAATGTAAGTTCTAAAGCAGAAACCCAAAGCATTGGGACATATATAAGCACCTAGTGGAACAGAGCTTACAAATTACACCCAAAAAAATGGGTGCAGAGTGCATAGATCTATAGCGAGGCCATAAAAAGTCAAAACAAGAGTCTTTTCCGCACATCACCTCAGTTCTTCAGAGCTTTGTTAGATATCTGAAAATTAATTCCACTGTGTACAAAGCACTGCGTGAAAACACTTATCTTTCTGTTCCAGTTAGGTACCTTCCAATCCCACCTAATATTCACTTACTGAATTGCAAAAGAAAGAGAATAAAAGCTGCCAAGTGATTCACTATTTGCATGTGTGGAGAGAAGATATTTCATTATGTTCCTATTCCCCCACCACCACCAAATAACAAACCCAATCCTGTCTAGGATAATTTCTGCATTGCTTTAGAGTCTTTCTTGACACTTTGTTCTGTATCCAATCTAATTTTCCAGTACTCTTTCTGAGACTGAATGTGGTATTGTTCATTCAACAATTACCAACAACATTTCTATCAATTAATGGTTTGTCTTCAGGCAGTGTTGTTTGTACAAACTAATGGTTTTCCATCGCTGAATTCCTTACGGGCAGCATTTTCCCCCTCCTCTCTGGGCCTTTGCTGATTACTTTATGCAGCTGTGCAGGGAGCAGGGCATTAACGGGGCAGTTTGCATGGGCTACAGCTCCATTTCTACCCTGGGGCGACAGGTTAAATCAAGACTCCCTGAGCAGGGACTCTTCCCGTCTGCCATTCCCGAATTCCCGTTTGCCAGCATGGAGCCTTGTGGTACCACTGAGTACCAGGCAGACCTTGGCATCAGTCAGCACAAACATCCCCAATGGGAGACTCTGGAGGCATCTCCCTGCTCCCTACACCATCCTGGTGCAAACTCCCCAGCCTTTTCCCTGCTCTCCTCCCATTTTTCTGTTTTCCCACACGACATCCCGCTGGAGAAACTAATTACCAGGAGCTTCTGACAAAGTCTATTAAAATTCAACGGTAAAATATATTTAACCTGCTCACCTCACCTCAAATTCACGGCTATTGCAGCAGGCAAGGAGGGAGCAACACAACATTTCCATAGGGGAAACCATGCTAGAATATCACTTCTTTCATTCTGGTGCTTTCCTTTCCTCTCAAACACTAATTCAGCTAATTTGCTATGTACTAGTGTAAGCTCTAAATTAACCTCTCCGAGCAGGACAGACTTTTAGCAGCTGCCAGGGTCTGCCCTCCTTCGACCTGGAAAATCTGTCATTGAGAGCGAGTGCTCTTTTCCTTATCAGCTCTTTCACTTTATTCTCGTGCTCCCCCCGACCTCCTCTGGGCTTGGTCAGCTAAGGATTTCTGTTTCTCCAGCTATCCAGCTCCTATAAATTTTAACGGCAAATGAGATACTGGCAAAATTTCATATTCAAACCCCCAAAACCTCCACTTTAAATGGGGCTGTAACCACCTTTTGCAAACATTCATCAAATCAGACAAACACTGATACCTAATAACTTCATTTCTAAGGCAATTTTTTTGAAGTTTGCTTAAGTATGAATACAGAATGGGAATACTTGTGCCCCCAAAGTGCTCAGAGTTGTTGTTGCCTATGTACAACGCCAAGGGCAAGTCACTTCACACGCAACACCTAGGGACTCTGTGACAAAGTGACTGGTGTGAAGCTCCCCAGCACCCACACGGCCTCCCAGGGACTGTTTGCAGAGCAGTTAATCACAATCAAGGGTGAAATTTGTTCTGTTTCACAAGATTAAGCCACAATAAGTGTATAATGTGTTTATATAAATCCACACATCAACCATCTGAGCAGTTTTCAGGGAATAATATCTTGGCAATGAGGCGGAGGGGTTCGTCCAGCGTCCTCCGACGACGCAGGCAGCCTGGAGGCTGCAGCTCCTGGGACAGGATCCAGAGAGAGAAATCTATGCCTATACAAGAGGACGGGCAGCTTGGTGCAAAAGTGCAAGCTGCATGTTTGGAAAACTATATCCTAAGATAAAAACAATTCTAATGCCTTGCAAAAAAACCATTTTCGTATTTTTAATTATCAAGACACTAACAGCAACTACACAGTCCTCTGCAACCCAAGACCTATGAGAAAAACCTGTATGCTTCCAGTGCTCTAGAACACATGAAACAGCCCTGAAACACCCATAAAACCGCGTGCTTCTCCTGGCTGAAACTGTACTGCAGTGTAAAACCCAACGCGAGTCCTTCCCGACGTGCTAAAAATAGCAGCGAGTGCTAACTAGGGAAAAGGCCATACCTTGCACGCAGGCTGCTCGGGAGGCAGAAGAACGGGAGATCCAGCAGCGTTGCCCTTGCGTAAAGCACGAGCTGCCACCATTGAGCCCGAGCGCTAAAACTGCTCCTAAATAAAACGGTCATTGAGAGGCGCTTCCACGCGGGCTCAAAGGAGCAGGCCAGGGCTGGCACAGGCCTCTCTGCGCTGTCGGGGACAATCTTAACGACAGCCGCGACCACGTGCTGAAAGGCCAAGGATGCAGTTTGTGGGGCCATTTACATCTCATTGGGCACACTTGTTAATAAGGTGCCACAGTTTAATTAGCCCGCTGAGCGCCAGACCGCGCAGCTGGCACCCTGGGCCAGAGCACCACGACTTTCATGGCAAAGACCGGTCTTTTTCTCCCAGATCAAACCACAGTGGGACTCTCCACACAAAAGAAGGGTTTTCGAGGCTAGGATAGTTTGAGGGAGTTCACTGTCAAACCAAAGCCACCTCTGACAATTCCCTCCATGCTGTCCCAACAGAAGACACAAGGAACAGGAAGATACTCCAAGGCAAGACATAAACCTATCTCTTGCTTCTGGAAGTCTTTATGTTTCCTCCTGGCCTTACATTCTTCCTGCTCCAAGGCTGCTCCTTTACCCTTGGGTTTGCCCTCAAGTAGTCTACAGTCAGCTCTAAATACTGCAAAGAAAAAAAAAAGGAAAAAAAAAAAAGGTATAAAAAAATAAACTGCTTTTTGACCACACATCCAATTGCAGAGATTTCCAGAGCTCTGTGGTACCACTATTTATGGCACAAGGCTGGCAAGGGCAAGTGATCTGCACGGCCTGTTCTGTAAAAAGCAGGCACATGATAACGCGCTGTTCTGCTAAGGACTAGTGAGACCGAGGTGCAAACGAGCTGCTCACAGCAACAGAGTCTTCTGTGAGGACAGTCCCCAGCACCGCCTCGGCCAGCCCTGCTGCTCCGTGCTAGTGGCACCGTCCCCGATGTCGCAGCCCCAGCCAGCAGTGCCAGCAAGGCGCAAGCACTCGGGCTGGCAGGCACTGCAGTTTACCTTTCTATCCTGCAACGTCCCACCATGCCTCAACCATAGAAATTAAGTTTATGCCTATGAAGAGGATTATTACGGCTTACAGCTCTGGAGACAAAGGGCCACCAGATCAAGAATGAATCATCTTTGGGCACAAATACAGTCTGGGGGAATGGGATTTACCTGCCACACTTGCTTTTGCTCTGCTTTCAGTTCTGGGTGTCCTCATAGGAGCTGCTGTGAGGCAAGACTGCCCTGTGAGCAACAGGGACCCGGCACACCTCGAACTCAGGCACACCTCCGATTCCCCTCCCCAGCACACAGGCACCGGCCTCCAACCCCGCACAGCACACCCAAGATGTGAGGATATTGATCAAAATCAACTTAAACGGCAGCTTCAGTGCTCTTGCCTGGTGCTTCCACAAGACAAGCCCTGGAGTCCGGTCTCACCAGGTGACTTCCCCAGGGCCACAGGCAACGCACTGCCCTCGGGCAGCGAATGTGCCCAGGCACGACCCAGAGCTGCAGGAGCAACGACACAGACCACACTTAAATGGGAGACATTAGCTCTTGCATCGCGTTGCTGCAGGAGCTGAAAATCAGCCTGGACCCAGGGGCTCCACAGCAGCAGCAGATTTCACCACACATCTGTGGGAAAGGAGCTCATTCCAGCGACACAAAGCAGCACCAGAACACACTAAGATTCCCCCTCACCCTGGCAAAGGTGCCAAACTTACCGCTGGCAGCTGGACACAGTTGGAGCTGACATCGTATTCAATATAAGCCACCTCCGTCCCGTCTTCTGACCTCCCATCTCTCATGTAGCAAACATCCCTAGTCCAGTTGGTGAGGCGATCCACCTCCTCCATGGCGTAGACGCAGAGCGCGGACTCCTCGCTCAGCTTGCCGGACGAAGCCTGCCAGGCAGAGAAGGCAGTGAAGAGCACCTCTCCCTCGGTGCCAAAGTGCCCTCGGGCCAGGCCTTCGCCCGGCCGGGTGACGTAGGCGGCCTGCAGCAGGCTGTACGTGTTGGCTTCGCTCTGGCAGAGCAGCGGCAGCTCCACGTAGGAGTAATAGTGCGAGTCATCGAGGCAGATGCGCGAGATGTAGGTCTTGTACTCCCGCGACTGCGACTTGAGGTCCCGACGGTAGAAGAGGAAGTAGACGCTCGAGCGGTAGGTGAAGGACTTAATGAAGTGGTGGTTGTACTCGGAGAGCCGGCCCACGGCCAGCTTTGCTGTTTCTTCATAGGAGAAGATGGAGTGCGAGTCGGTGCCTTGAATATCCCCCCCGAGGGCCCTGAGATTTCGGGTGGTGATGGGAGGGATCCCCCCTCCAACCCCTCGGCTAGTGTACCCTCGTCCCACAAAGAGCAGAGGGACCTCGTCCTTCGAGTAAGCCACAAGTCCCACGGTGGTGATATTGGGATCGTTGGCAGCAACGTACTGGGTGTCACCAGGGCTTTCTGGTCGGAAGAGAACGTGGTCGATGGAGGTGAGGCTCCTCTTCTCGCAGATGCCCTGGTGCACGCTGCCGCACACGATGAGCTCCTCATGCGCCGCGTCCACCAGCAGCAGCTTGTTGTGATTGTCGGTGTAGTGCGCCTGAGGACACTCCAGCTTGGAGACCGGAGGGAGGCAATCCTTACTGTCCAGAACCGGCCCCGTCTGAACCACGTTCTCCAGCAGCAGGTCAGATGTCAACTGAAAAAGAAAGTTGGTGGCCCCCAGGTAAATGGTCCCAGACTCCAAGTCCATTGACAAGTGGAGGAATTTTGTAGTGTTGCGTGAGAACGTGACATATTGCAGTCCCCTTGGAATGGCTGCTCCCAAGAAACAAAGAACAGGAAGGAAGGATGTTCCTAGAGGCATGGTAAACACTCTGCAAGAGGAACAACAAAAAAAGAGCTGTTATAACTCCTCTGAAACCAGGAGTGAAGATTAGCATACCCCAAACTCCTTCAGTAGTATTCTTATTGTGCGAGATGGGCAAAGAGGACATAGATCACTATAAAGAAAGCCAGTTCTCCATTGGAGAACTGACTCCAAGAGGCAAAACAGTACCTCCTTAGCAACACCAACAGAAAGAAGCCTACAGGAGCATCAGAGGCTTTGCTCAGTCACCTTGGCATTGAGGTGACAGGCACAGTATCTTCAGGAGGAGCTGGAAAGGTACTGGTGGAACCCCAGACTCTGCTGGGAGGTACTGCTAGAAGCTGCTCTTCACCTCCTAAGACCTGTACTAAATTTGCTGAAGAAACAGTCCCATTAGTCCAGGGATGCAACTTAAGGAGGAAGGTCCCATCTACACTGCACTAAAGGGTTGCCTCAAACACCGCAGCTTCAGTTCCCTGCCATTCTTGCGCCTTCAGAAGTGAGCCACGTTTAACCAGACTCCTCTACAACTCTTTGATGTGATGCTATAAGTACTCCAAGACAGGCCCACATCCCACAGCTCGTTGTAGGCATTGTTAATGGGTAACACCACAGTAAAACAAACACACTGCTGTCCAAGACAAACACACCCTGCAGGACTATTGTTTAAATAAATCGTAGGCAGGCTCCCACTTACAGAAAACAAACATCTCCTCTGGTCTGCATTTGATATAGCATGAAATTAATATTTCCAGAATTCACCGTGCTTAATTAACACTGTTCTTTCTTTCTCGTCCTGCTTTTGGCTATTGTTGTCCTCCTTTGGGTCTAAGGAGGCCTTGGCACTAGTGTTTCAGGTGAGACCTTTCCATGTCATCGCTCCACTGAACAAGGGCCACGTGAAGCAGGAGTGCTCTGCCCTGATGCTGTGAGGCCTCCAGCCGCTGCCCTGGAGCCAACAGGCCACCAGTCATCCCCCACCACCCGTGTGCTCTGACAAGCTGGTTCCTGCGAGCCCAACTCCTCCTCGTGCGGAACGGCAGGCCTGGACAAGACACTGCACTCACTTGCTGCCACCCATGTGCCCCCAGAACCTCTCTCCACACTGTAAAAGGCTCCATGCCTTTCCCACCCCGTGCCTCAAAAGCACAGGCAGTGTGTGACGGGGTGGATGTTGCCTGGTGTGCAAAGCCTTGCACCAGTCACTCTCAGAAGCAGCTGGGATCTACCCAAGCTGGGAACTGCTGGCCTGGACAGCAGAGTGTCCCACAGCAAGCTGGGAATGAGCTAATAAGTTGGAAATGCGCTAATAAGTATCTGTCACATTTCAATTATTAAATCCCTACAGCATCAGCTGCAAGTACCCATCATCTGCTTATGAAAGCCTGAATGGAGAAGTGGGTGTGCTGCTTCAAGGGCAGCAGAATCAAGCCCCTTCCCTCCATCCCCATCATGAAGCAGCGGGGTATCAAAGCTGTACAGACACTAGCATGGACCAGGGGTTCAACAGAGCTCCTAGCCACACAGCATCCTCCAGAACTGCCCTGTAATCCACCGTGCTCCTTTCAACAACCCGGTCTATTTGGTAGCTAAAGCTACTGTCAGCTCCATCCTACAGCCTCATACCTCTTGGGTCTTAGTGAGCTCAAGGTGCAATTAGCTCCAAAGTGGCTAAGGGCACAGAGATGCAAAGCAGGTCTGCAGCATTTCAAGAAAAGGCTACCCTGGCTTTCACTGCAGGACTTCCTATCAGGAACTCCTCACCACGCAAACTGTGTCCTCCACTTATCCTGTGCAACACCCAGCACACAGCGTGCAGAAGACACCGTAGTAACAGAGTAAGTGCTAGAATCTAGATCCATCTTTTACATCACTGCTAATGTAGAGGCACAACAGCCTCCTTGCCACCTCCTTTGTCAGTAAAACACAGCCATCTTTGCCCTTCCAAAAGGGCAGCTGAGAGGATTAGTTTACTTGTGAAATCCAGCAGATGGAAGGTATTATAAATACAATCAGTTATTAAATACGGGCTTTGTGAAGCTCTGGAAAAGCTCCATTTCACACATTTGTTGTAGGTAGGTAGGTAGCACGGTCAGGATACACCCACACGCAGGAATTTCGGCGCTCCGCTGGCAGCGTGCCCTCCTCCGAGCATAGAGGCACTGATTCACATCACGGCAGCCCCAGCTATGTTTAGGTTACGTGCACACACTAGGGCTTTTGTTTGCACTGATAATAGACGTTTAGTGTTCTCTGCTCTCCGTGCTACCAGTGCACTCCGCTTCACCCAGGCGCACAGACAGCCCTCAACTGGCCTTGCATGGTCTCCTGCTAAGCTGGAGAGGGAATGCGTGGTGGGGTTGGACAGAGGTCCTCATCACACAAGGGGTGTTATCTCCAAAGTGTGACGAGGGATATTTTTAAAGTCAGCAAGTAGCTGCTCGCAGACTGCCAGGATGGAGCTCAGCGACTTAACAAAATCGCCTCCGGTTCACAGGAGTAAGTAGAGCAGATCTTGCCCCAAATGCAACAGATCCATTTTCTGAACAGATCTGTGCATCCTGCAGGCTTTGACGCATTCTCCCTGCTTTTATTGGAGAACACTGTATCCAAGGAAGCCCTTAACAGAAACAACAGCTTTGGTGCCTCTGCGTAGCCGTCATGCAGATGCCACGGCAGCTTGCTGTGCAGCTCTGCCTGGAGCTTCCTCGTTTTCAAAGCTTAAAACAGCCAGAAACAAAACAGGCGGATGATGATCATCTAAGAGGAGTTTGACTATGTTGTGACAGGGCCAAACAGACACAGAGATGGCAGTCTTTGATCTGGGAATTGCCGAGGATCACGAGTCATCATTATACTGTACCACTTACAAAAACCTCTAATCTTCCTCCTAGCTAATGCTGCCTTCCCAGCTAGCACTTACAGTAAAACTAGCACGTGCCTTGGGAATTTAACTCTGAAATACCAGCTTTCTGACTAGTGGTCCTGCCTTTAATATGGAAGACTCTGCTCTGACCAACATAGACCAACAAGTGCCAGGGGCAGAACTAACACTCATATGCGCAACCCTCGCTTGGATTCAAGACCCACTGCTTAACACTAGCAACACAGATCACAGAAGTCCTCTGATCTGTGTTAAGCTGAACTTAACACTACTGTCTTAGAGAAAGCACTTTGCTTTTTGGAGCATCCGTACTGGAAAAGAGATAGAAGAGCCAAGCAGCCTTTTATTCCAGCAGACAGCAGCTATAACTAGATCCTGCTCTGGTCAGAGCTTGGACCTAAAACTATTTTTCCTCTTTCCCTCACAAATATTTCCTTAAAAGTAACTTAGCAGATTCTTACCTGGAAGATCTTCATGAAGGATAGCTCTAAACTAGCTAGTCCCCAAGACACTCGACACAGATCAGCTCACAAGGCTGGAAATAGTCGGTAAAGCACAAGTTCTGCAAGCTGGTTCCAGTCACTCTGAGTGGTGGATAAACACTGAATGGGTTCTTTGTTCTTTTTTTTTGCTGAAGAGCCATTAGCAGATGAACTTGTAGTTACTGCTATATAAACAAACATATACATTAGAAGCGAACATAAGCCCGTGTGACCACCAGTGCTAAATCAGAGGCATTATTGCGCTTTTATTTGAAAAATGAGAGAAAAGCAGCCAGCTTGTGATTCAATTTCCCAAATTATTCTCAAGCATGGGCATCAGTGCCTCCTTCTTACTCTTCAGCTAAGCCCCTCATAACCTCTCTGGGAGGACATGAAGAAGGATAACCTACATTTAAATCTGATAGTTTCACGACAAGCTATGAGATTGAGCCCTGTATGGATTTACTGAACTATTCTGCTTCCTGTACTCATTGCTAGGGTATAACACAGCTGTTACAGACAGATTGCACTGTAAGTGTGTGGCCTTTAATTAATTCCAAAGGCAACTGCCATAGCTTAAAGATTCTCTTAAATATTCAATTTTTGATGAATTCCCTTTAAACAGAAAATGCTCCAGACAATTCTGAACATTGTCTAACATACTGTAAAATATTAACATGAAAATGATCCTTCTGAGTTTCATTTATTTAATCTGGATCACAACAGAAGGGCTGGAGGATTAGTCAGTTCTGCCACAGAATATTTATATCACATCAGCCAAATAACAACCAATAATGCACAAGCAACAGCACTATTCTCTTACTTGGGAATTGAAACACGACAGTGTTTTCTGCACCACTATTTTTACCTCTCTGACCTCAAGTATCCTCCTTAAACGACTTCATTCATTTATTATAAAGAAAAAAAAAAATCCTGACCTCACTCAGACGCATTTTAACAGCATATCAACACATAAAGATTATTCCAATCCTCCTAGATTATTTCCTTAATGCCACATCCTATCCCCCAAACATGCAGAGAGGTCACATAATGTCACGGCTCCTAGGCTGTATTTCATACTTGCCACCAATTCTGGCAGAATCGGCCAGGGAAAGAGCAGGTCCCTGCACTAGCACCTGCCACCTCAGCATCCGCAGAGCCCTGATGCGCCGAGTTGGCCTTCAGCGAGAGCTCTGGGCACCTTCAAAATTCAAATAATAATTCCTTGAGCCATGCAATGACCCTCGGACTCCAGCACATTCAAATCTAGCGTTAGGAAGAATATGACTATTGTAATTTCTGCACAAAAGCCCTGAATTGCTGCTCCTCTTCTAAATATCCTAATATCCTATGTTCAACAATAAGACTTGCCGCTTTCTACTAAGACCTCAAAGCAACTAACTTATTTTTAATACCATCTTCATAGATATCTTAATTGTAGACTGAGAGATTTCACCTTATCATCCTTTCAAGAACTGACAATAAAAAGGAGAATCAAGTGCTATATTGTATCTACAGTTTAAAATGGGAAACGCTACCCAACTGTCAATTTCCTAGTAACTTAATACAGCAAACAGATAACTTCCTGCTCTTATTATACATCTAAGGTTTGAATCCTTTATGATCTGCCCCAAACCTTTA